AAGAAGACGATTCGTTGCACCATTTTCGACTCTTATTAAGCCCTATTTATCTGAATTCAATTCAATTCATTCAATATAAACAACAAATTAATTCATTCATAGACCTACACAAACATCACATGCATTGCAGCCCTTAAATATCATCCCCTCGTCCCTTAAGTTTTAGGTGTGAACAAATGACAACCACCGAGTAGGACTTGGGCAATGCAACAGTTACCGTATTATTTATCACTCTCAATCAGATGCGTTCACAGTTTTCACACCTCTTAAAAATTGTTTCTGGAATTCATATAATGATACATGTACTGTGTTTATTATTTAAATCTAATGAATTCTTTAATTTCCTCAGCCAAATCCTTTCTCAAATATAAAAATAATAAGAATGTGTACAGACTTACCTTGAAATAACTGAAGAGACAAACGGCCACTGTAAGTCTTGAACACGCCAGGTCTGGAACTTCAGTCTTCATCTTTCATCTACCCCCCCCCCCCCCCACACACACACACACACACTCCGGGGTCGGAGGGACCGCATGCGCGTTCCTAAAATCTCCAGGAAAGGGGTGTTTTTTTCGCGCGACAAAATCCGGCCCGGAGATTTCTTTAAAAAGGGGGTGGTTTTTTTTCTCTTTCTCTCTTTGGACTCGTAAAAAGGGGGTTATAAAATATTTGGAATATCATAGAAAAATTAAACGAATCCCGGGATCAAATTCCTGAAACTCCTGCTAGCTTTGAAAGCTCATTCAGGATTATTTCATTTTGAAAAGTAAAAACATTGGCCCCCAGCCCCCCCCCCCCTCCCCAGTTCCCCTCAATCGACTAGAGCTCACCTGAAATTGGGGGGGGGGGTGTGGTACATTTAGCAGTGTTCCGGATTTGGGGGGGGGGGGTCTCCAAGGCAGGAAAAGCCGGCGAAAAGCGGGCGAAAGGGGATTCAGAAATCAATTACATCCACACACACACATACATTAAGAGAATGAGACATAGACGATCATAATAATGCAAGAAAGGAGATTTGAAAGAGTGTACAGAGAGAGAGAGGGAGAGAGAGAGAGAGAGAGAGAGAGAGGTGGGTATATGGGAAGGAAACAAACAGAATGGTATAAAAAACGAAAGTAGAATGATGACGAAAGAATGAGAAAAAAAAAGAGGGAGGGGAAAGAGAAAGAAAGGGAGAAAACAGTAGCGAATCCAGGATTTTCCAAGAGGGGGACCCGAAATTTGAAAATCGCACCGACCGATATTTCGCTCAGTTGGGGGGGGGGGGGGGTAGGGAGCACTTAATCTTTTTTCTTCTCATTTTGCCCCCTCCCCCCCCCCCCGAAATTTGAAAATCGCGCCGACCAATATTTAGCTCAGCGGGGGGGGGGGGGGGGGGGGGTGAGCAGTAAAAATACATTTTGTATATCTATATACTCAGTATGCATTGACAATCGGAAACTCTTTAAAACATTTCTTCTTTTTGCAGAGAACTTCGAATTTTGAGAGAGTTGAACTTTTGTAATACCTGGAGATTATTCCAAAATATGATACATTTAATAAGAAATGGCCAAGGAAAAAGAGAATCATAAGGAAAGTTGTATCATCTGCTCAATCTTACTTGCATGCATAAAACAAAATTAGTTTTGCATGCAAAAGTGAAGTTCATTGACTATGATAATTAAGAAAGGAATATTAACAACACGTGATATACTTTGACCACTAATAACAAGATTATTAAGATCAATAGGATCCCCCCCTGATCCTCATTTTTAAAAATGAAGTACTTTGTTTGGTCAAGATGTATTGATAGTTTTTTGCAACAGAACAATTGTGCAATTTGTGTACTTTTTTTCATTGTAATGATTGTAATGGACATCAAACTACAAATATCTTTGTAAGATGTTATGTGTCATCAGCAAATAAAGAATAATGGAATAATCATTTAGATGAAATTATGATATCAATTTATTTAAACAAGGAACCGTAGGGGCCCCAGTACGGAGCCCTGCGGGATTCCAAATCTAAAAAGTTTACATTGGGATAGACACCATTGACCATAATATACTGATACCGGCCTACTCAAAACAAAACAAAAACAAGCTATAGCCCTCTTATACCATTTAAACAAAATACGTTTGAGTGTGTTATAGGCAACGATGATGTCAAAGGCTTTTGACAGGTCCATAAAAAATCCGAAACAAAAGTTGCCTTCGTCGTTTTTTGTTTTGTTTTTATTTAAAAATTAACAATAATAAAAACGCCCATTTTGATATACACAAACAACAAATTACCAACAAAACAAATCAATTTTCTTGTGAGTGAATAATCAACAGCTGACGTAGATGGAGTTTTCATATCAACGCCTTTGGTTGATATTGAGTGCTTCGGGATCAGGATCATACAGGGCCAGGGTAGTCTGTTCCACTTGGTGTCGTGCGCCCAATCAGCTGAGAAAATACACACCCTCAACGCTAAAACGGAGACTGTCCTTGTCTTCAATTGGTAGGGGTCGTGAGGATATGTATGGGATGCTTGTATAGCCTACTAGTACTAGAATAAAAACAGACCAAATCGCTTGGGCTAGCTGCTGGGTTATGTTTCTCAGAACCGTCATCCATTGAATGTGTGTTGATACGAGGACTGACTACTGACACTCGTTTCAATGCTGTGTTGCCGGATTAATTAAACCAAATCAAATTCAAGTATGAAGTATCAAGTTTATTTGTCTTCCAGAAAACACATGTGACAAATATAACAGAGTATAATCATAACAGTACAATGTTGACCGCAAATTGACATGGAAAGTGCATATTAATTATTTATGTAAATTATTATCAAGAAACATTGGTGTCATAACTCATGTTCATTTCCTTTACCGGTTTTATCATCACTGTATACAACCCTTATTTTGCCTTACCTAAATTATGGTATTTTAGCATGGGGAAATCCTTGTAAGACTTTAATTGATCGAATATTAATTTTGCAGAAGCGTGCATTAAGAATAATCCATGTCTACTCAGTTTGTTCCCACACTAACTTTTTTTTACAAGACAAAATTCGTAAAATTAATTATTTGTATTCTTGGTATACCTCGGTATCTTTATGTTCCAACTAATTACGAGTTACCTCTCCCGATTTCCTCCATTTTTCAAAAAAAATAACGAGATACACTCATACCCCACTAGACAATCGAATCACTTCCACACTCCTCGAATGAGAACAGCTTTCGCACAAAAAACAATTATTTACACCGGTCCAGTATTTTGGAATAACATGATACATCTTTTAAACAAAGTATATGTGCCTGCAATTATTCAACCAAATACAGAAACCTGAACACAAACTAAATGACCTTCTCCCACCAAAACGAGAGACAAGATATAACCTTAGGAAAAGTAAACAAGTGAGTCTGCCCAGGTGTAAAACAAACCGATTTAAGAATAGTTTTATCCCTTGGTGTGCGTATAATTTACAATAAGCAGGTAATTAGTGCAATATACATTTTCAATCATTCAATATTCTTTTGAACTTGTACCCCGACATATGCAGCTGGTTTTTAATTATATATATATATATATATATATATATTACCTTCGCTTCAGAGGATCAATTTGGAATAATTATTCAGTACATGCAGTTTTTTAGTTTATACCCACACGTTGACTTTCTTTATAATTATATTATATATTTGGATATTTGGATGTAGAGTTAACTTGATTGATCATTGCAGCTTTTTCACTTCTTCACTTTCTTTTCTTTTTCCCTCTCTTGCTCCCTGTTCTTGTCTATTCAATTTTATGTTGTTTCCCCCTTTTTCTTGTAATGATTTATTTGTAATATGATCTACCTGAATGATTTGTAATGTTTGTTTTTTTTCTATTAATGATCTACATTGTATTTCTATTCATAATTTATCAATTTCATTGTACTGAATTTAATAATGTTCATAATCATGTTGAAAATGTATACAATCCAACCCTTTGGTTGCTATGAATGAATAAAATAAATTTTTAAAAAAATTAAAAAAGTACCAGTCTATACAGTATACACATGTTTTAAAAAGCTAAAGATTAAACTTTTAAACACATATACATTAATCTCGGTTTGTTTGACTCTCGACTCAATCTCTTACTCTCTCTTTTTACTGATCTAACCTTCTTTTTCTAGAGCTTTTGCAATGGCATTCATTTTCCTTTCTTTTCTTTTTTTTTATCTTTCTTTCTTTTTGTCTTCCACTATTTTCCTCCATTTTTTCCTCTCTTTTAATTTTTCCCAAAAAAATCTGTAATTTCTTTGCTACCTATTTTTTCTATTTTATTGATTTTCTAAGCATACTTTGTTCATGTTATATTGTAAAACAGCATCTGAGGAACTAAAACTGACTTCAACAAACTCTGCTTCTAGGTAGTTCCTCTTTTCTCGTGCTTTTTTCTACTATACTTGTCGTTTCATTGCATATTTCTGTAATATAATTATCCATTGTATTATGTTTTGCATGAGAAATCAAATCATTTGAATTTGAATTTGAATTTGAAAGAAAGATGAGGACTAGTGACCTTTGTTGAAGCACAGCTTGTTAAGTTAAGGCCCCTCATAATTAATAAAGGTTCCAAAGAACTGCCTCATATACTTTTTATAGTCAAATTGTTTTCAGATTTACAAGTCGCACTCTTCATTATTTTAAGTACAAGTGTAAATCAAATCATTTCAACGACATATCTACCCGGGCATATATCTATCAACTTTCAGTTTCACTTGATTCGTTTTATGAACTAGTTTAGTCGTGCAAGAAAATTTGACATTAATTAACCCTCTTCTCTATGGAGCATTATCCACATTTTTGTGATTCTACGTTCTAAACATAAATTATTTAAAATCAATATATCATAAAGATTCAAACTAATAAAGCCAGCGTTCCAAATACATGACAGACTTCCTTTGCCCACGGCAATTGATCCCTTACCTTCTGAAACTTCCAAACTTCAATAGCGCCATCTATAACTACCTATTTGGGTTTTGAGTTGAGATATGATGTCTGCACTGTACTAGTACTGTGTGTCGATGAGGATTAGTCATCGGCCAGTCATCGGCTCATCACTTGCTATTAATACCAGACAGAGCTACTGGTTTGGTACCATTAGCCGAAAGCAGCCTGCCAAAATGTGCCAGTATACTACCCGATGAACTAAACAAGGAAATATACATCTACGATTCAGATTTGGTTTAGTCGCCCTCGGTTTGCTCGCACACAGACGTGGATGTGAGTATGTGGGACAAAACGAACAGTATTGCCTGTAACTCCGGGAAGCGTTATTTTTTTATGCGGCACAGATTGGGGCTTGGCGCGTGTTAAACCTATGGGAAGTACGTTCTTTCCCTTCTGAATAATGTCTGCACGTACGTGAGACTAGTCATGTTTATAGCTAGCGCATTAGCGCTGCGAAGAAGTTTGTATATCCATCGCGAACTATGTGTTTAGATAACATTCCTCTTCGTTTAAATTAGTTAAGTTTTATTGACTAATTATTGTGATGTTCTCCTTATTGACGTGCTGCTTCCTCTTCAGATTTCCAATTTGATTTTAATTGTTGATGTAATGATTTTCCATGCGGTAGTGGATTAAATATAACACTATTAAAAACTGACCTCTACTACTTATACTGTCTAGTACGCACACGACCAGTATTAGTCTGTAAATTCAAGACCCCTTTTAAAAAAAAGCCCCAATCTGTGCCGCATAAAAAAATAACGCCTCCGGGAAGCTCCAACACCGGCGCCGCAGGCGTCGGAGCTTCGGGTGGTTTCGCTGGTTTCTCGTGGGGGCTAGTAAAACGGCCGATTGGGTGATATTATCGTTAAATCTGCAAAGGGAGTACTTACAATTTTTACATCATAGGGTGCACGACTCCTCAGGGCTCAACTCCAATCACTTGAAGTTGAATGTACTATAATTTGAAGAAGTCTTCGATGGGAAAAAATGGTTAATTCGGGGTACTACACCAACGATTCTTCCATGTCGCAGCGTTGATTCAAAATAGCGATGAGAAGGTACGCATGCGTGACAGTGGCGAAAAAATATGAATATTCATGCTATCGAGCACCGATTGCTCGAAATCGCTGAATATGCACGACTCGAACAAACAGAGCCCTTCTCAACCTCGTGCATATTCAGCGATTTCGAGCGATCGGTGCTCGATAGCATGAATATTCATATTTTTTTCGCCACTGTCGCGCATGCGTACCTTCTCATCGCTATTTTGAATCAACGCTGCAACATGGAAGAATCGTTGGTGTAGTACCCGAATTAACCTTTTTTTCCCATCGAAGACTTCTTTAAATTATACATTCAAGTGATTGGAGTTGAGCCCTGAGGAGTCGTGCACCCTATGATGTAAAAATTGTAAGTACTCCCTTTGCAGATTTAACGATAATATCACCCAATCGGCCGTTTTACTAGCCCCCACGAGAAACCAGCGAAACCACCCGAAGCTCCGACGCCTGCGGCACCGGTGTTGGAGCTTCCCGGAGTTATATTTGTGGGAATATCTAATAACGTCTTGATACAAGACTATATATTTGCAACGTTGAAACGACGACACGAAGTGAAAGTAAAACATAACCAAATCGTACTACCCTTTTGTGTCCATTCTCCTTTTGTCGTCTGAATAATACTACATGGTGGCAGCGGTATAAGTGAAAAAACCATGGAAAGTTCTCGTCTACCATTGCCAGAAAGCTTTGATAAAGTTGCAGGCTTAAATCAAGCAGAACAATGGCCAAAATGGTCACTGCGGTTCGAGAGATATCGCGTCGCATCGGGCCTCGCATCCAAGCCAGACAGTGAGCAGGTTAGTACGCTACTCTATGCTATGGGTGAATGTGCCGATGATATTATCGTGTCTCTCAATGTGAAAGAGGAGACAGCAAAGTATGATGACGTGATCGCAACATTGAAGAAGTATTTCAATGTACGGAAAAACATTATTGTTGAAAGGGCAAAATTCAACAAACGAACACAACGCCCGGGAGAAAGTGTGGACACATTTATCAATGATTTGTACAGGCTAGCAGAGGACTGTGACTACGATAGACTTAAGGAGGGCTTGATAAGAGACAGAATTGTAGTTGGGGTGCTTGATGACTCCCTATCTGATCAACTACAGTCTAGAGAAGACCTAACTCTCTCAAAAGCAGTTCAATTGAGTAGACAGTCAGAAGCCCGGAAACAAAACAAGTCTGTTGTGAGGGGAGGTGCAGAGAGTGAGAGCCCTAACTCGGCCGTAAACTACGTAAGGCCTAAGAGCAAGGGAACGTACTCGAAGAAAACATCTCAAACTCCGCAGGGTAACTGTAAGTGGTGTGGAAGGCAGAATCATGCACGTGCCAGCTGTCCCGCAAAAGATGCAAAGTGCCATCAATGTGGAAAGATGGGCCACTTCCAGTCTGTGTGTCAAGCCAAACAACCAGAACAGGGAAAACAAGAGGCAGCAAAGCTGAAATGGAAAGCTCGAGTCAGCGAAGTAGATGATTTCGATGACATTGATGTCCCCTTCCTTGGTGAAGTCAGCGAGAACGATCAGACGTACTGGAGTTCATCGATCCTCGTAGATGGGAATGAAACACACTTCAAGTTAGACACAGGAGCAGCCGTTACTGTGTTGTCTGATTCCACTCCATGGCTGAATAAACACATCATGAGACCAACAACCAAGAGGTTACGTGGTCCAGGAAGTACAGTCCTGACTGTAATAGGACAAATGACATCAACTCTCAGGCATAGAGATAAACAGATCAAGGAGACTCTCTATGTGGTCAAAGATCAGGAGTCTTCATTGCTGAGTAGGAAAGCGTGTAGAACCTTGAATCTAGTCCGCAGAGTGGAGGAAGTCGATTCTTGTGATGATGAAACTGCAAACTTCAAGGCTGAGTTCCCTCAACTTTTCACTGGTTTGGGGAAACTGAAGACAGCATACCACATCACGTTAACTTCAGATGCCAAGCCGATGTGCCTGTATACAGCCAGGAAAGTTCCTCATCCGCTTCTACCGAAGGTGAAGAAAGAACTAGAGTCCATGTTAAAGCAAAATGTGATCTCAAAAGTGACTGAGCCGACAAAGTGGTGTTCGGGGATGGTTCCAGTGTTGAAGCCCAGTGGTTCGGTGAGAATTTGTGTAGACCTTACATCTCTCAACAAGGCAGTTGAACGAGAGATTCATCCGATGTCTTCAGTCGATGAAAGTCTAGCAAAACTGGGAAAGAGCACAATCTTCACAAAACTGGACGCCAACAGCGGGTTTTGGCAAATTCCATTGGAGGATGAGTCAAAGCTACTGACAACCTTTGTCACTCCATTTGGGAGATTTTGCTTCAACCGATTGCCGTTCGGGATAACGTCAGCGCCAGAAGTCTTCCAGAGAGCGATGTCCACTATCCTCGAAGGACTTGACGGCGTGATTTGTCACATGGATGATGTGCTAGTCCATGGTGCAACACAAACAGAACATGACATCAGAGTACGAGCTGTTCTACAACGTCTGCAGGAAGCAGGTATCACACTAAATCAGGGAAAGTGTGAATTCTCCAAACAGAGTGTGAAGTTCTTAGGGCACTTCATCGACGACACTGGTGTCAAGGTCGATCCGAGCAAAACAAGAGCTATTCGAGATTTTCCAGTTCCTCGAAGCGTGAAAGAGCTACAGAGGTTCATGGGAATGGTGAACCAGGTGGGAAAGTTTCTCCCAGGATTAGCTGAGATCAACGAGCCCCTTCGTCAACTCCTGAAGAAAGACAATGTGTGGTGTTGGGGAGAAGCGCAGCAGAGATCTTTCACACAGATCAAAGAGATGATGGTCTCGACAGCAGTCTTAGCTCATTATGATCCAGAACTGCCAACAGTCATTGCAGCAGATGCATCCGGGACTGGAATGGGTGCAATCCTGTATCAAGTGCAGACTGATGGAAATCGTAGACCAGTGTGCTATGCATCTCGATCGCTTACCGAGACTGAGCAGAGGTATGCAGTGATTGAAAAAGAGGCACTGGCAGCTACTTGGGCGTGCGAGAGGTTCTCCGAGTATGTACTTGGTCTTCATTTCGAGGTGGAAACTGACCACAAGCCATTGGTCACACTTCTAAACTCGAAAGAACTTGTGAAAATGCCTCCACGACTCCAACGCTTCAGAATGAGAATGATGAGATTTGATGCAGAGACATTGTATGTTCCAGGAAAACAGCAGACATCCGCTGACGCCTTGTCACGAGCGCCAGTAGAGAGGCCAGGAATGGATGATGTCAACTTCGTAGATGAGGTTGAATCATATGCATCAACATCAGCCATCAACCTCCCAGTGACAATGCAGAGATTTGAGGAAATCAGAAATGCACAAAAAACAGATGAAGTATGTGCAAAAATCAGAGACTACTGCGTTCAAGGATGGCCAGACTACATGCCACATAACCCGATCCTCAAACACTACTATGAGCAGAGAGGACACCTGAGTGTGGTAGAGGACTTGCTTATCTACGACGAGAGAATAGTCATTCCGAGAGCTCTGCGACTTGATATCCTTGAGAGGCTACATCAAGGACATCTGGGAATCACCAAATGTAGAGCCAGAGCCAGAGATTCAGTGTGGTGGCCAGGTCTATCAAAATCATTGGAGGACATGATTTCAAGCTGCTTGACCTGTGCTATCCATCGCCAAGAGGTCCGCGAGCCTTTGATGAGCTCATCCTTTCCTTCAAGGCCATGGGAGCGTCTTGGAATGGACCTGTTCGAACTCAAAGGGAAATCGTTCCTGATAGTAGTTGACTACTACTCGAGGTGGATTGAGGTCAAACAACTCCAAGGTCAGTCAACAATGGCAGTGATTTCTTCGCTGAAGGAGATCTTTGCAGTCCATGGGATTCCAGACCTTGTGGTTTCAGACAATGGTCCACAGTTCGCCAACGAGAACTTCAGAAAGCTTGCTGAAGAGTATGGATTCGTCCATACAACCAGCTCTCCAAGATACCCACAAGCTAATGGTGAGGCTGAAAGAGGAGTTCGCACTGTGAAAGCGTTGCTGAAGAAGAACGACGACATCCAGTTAGCCCTTCTCAGCTATCGAGCGTCACCACTCCAAAACGGGTTAGCTCCTTGTGAACTTCTCATGGGGAGGAGATTGCAGACTCAGGTTCCTACTTTGCCGCACATGCTGCTGCCACGGGTACAACAGCCGGACCTGACGACTGTGAGAGAGAAAGAGGAGAAGTACAGGTCAGATCAAATGATGACCTACAACCGACGTCATGACTCACGTGAGCTTCCAGAGCTACAACCAGGAGATTCCGTGTGGATCCGTGATCAGTCTCGCTACGGGAAAGTCACCCAGAAAGCGCAACAACCACGGTCCTACCATGTCCAGACAGAACTTGGGACAGTACGTCGTAATCGCCGTGCACTGATTGCTGTCCAAGGTCAACCCACCAAGACCAGAGTGCCGGAGTCATCCATGAGCAACGATCCAGAGAGACCTGACGATTCTGATGAAAGCGACTCAACCGGTTCCCAACGTAACCAGCAGATCAACCGGAAGCAGCCTGAGGGAGCCTCTACACCAACAGCTGCGACAGAGACGCGAACGCGATCTGGACGACTCGTGAAACCACCAAAGCGACTGTCCATGTAATGGGTTAAACTTAAATACCAAAATTGGGATTAACTTTGCAGGAACTGAAACTGAACAAGACTTTAAAGGTTTGGACAGTGTTTATTTGGGTTTAATAGTAAACTGGAATGGACTCGGGACTCGAAGAACACAATTAAGGAGAATATCCGTGAACTCTTAAACAGGATTATATTTCGGATTTTTATTGGATTTGAAACTATTTGGAAATCAATAAGAACTCTTGAACTGTTGATAATAAGCTTTGGGGGAGATGTGGGAATATCTAATAACGTCTTGATACAAGACTATATATTTGCAACGTTGAAACGACGACACGAAGTGAAAGTAAAACATAACCAAATCGTACTACCCTTTTGTGTCCATTCTCCTTTTGTCGTCTGAATAATACTACAATATTGCCTGGAGCTGGATCCGTAAAAAGACCCAGGGTCAGGGAATTGGAAATCAGCATCATGATGATGATGATGATGATGATGATGATGAACAGCATTTGTATGGCGCAATATATCTGTTTAAAAAACCATTCAAAGGCATGATCAGGGGGGGGGGGGGGGGGTATGCACTCCAGCAAAGCATAGTCGTCAATGTATTAGGTTTTTACAATTACAGACGTGTATCAATCAGATATGATTATTTACGTCTGGGGACCATCACCATCCGAAAGATGTGACTCAGTTTCGAACCGGCGTCCTCGCCTGAAACAGTTTGTAACTTTCACTACAGGCGCACGCCACAACGCCTAGTCATCAATGCTAATGCGTATTGACCTTTATATACAATGATATACCTCTTTATGTTGAATAGGAGTCGTGCTAACTTGGACCCGGGGACAACTTGGCCCCGCCGCAACATTGCCAACAAGGGTCAGTTTTTGCAGGTTTAGGGTTAGGGTTAGGGGGAAATGACAAAAAAATGACCGTTTTTGCAGCAGGTCCTTTGAATAAATCTAGTCATCTGATTGGTCGAAATTGGAGTCGTGATTTATACATGCCCGGCTACCGAGTGCCGCGCCAGTCAATAAATAGTTTTTCAAAAGATGCCTGCACGCCCGCCTACCAGTAGGGGCGCTAGTCCGAGAATAAGGATCATCTGCATAAACGAGGGTCGTCTTCGTAAACGCGGACAGACAATTCCCCCCCCCCCCCCCCCCCCCCAAAAAAAAGGATCATCTGCATTTTCTGATCCGTGCGTTGGCGATGCGAAAAATGGATTCCGCAATGATTTCTTGATGCATTTGACGTTGACTTTGTAAAGAGACTTTCACGATATGAGCGACATCTCCTTTGGGAAGACGGACAACCCACAAAAGTAACGATGAACTGAGGGTATTGTATTTATACGCGGAATTCGTTTTTCGCATCGCGAGCGCGTGGTTTGGGAGCCGGAAACCTGCAGAGCGCCCATGAAACAAAACGTTTGATTCACATGTAAATGCAGCGCTAGTGGTCAATAAACATTGGAATTTACCAACGTGCATTGCTGGTGTGCGTGCTGATTGGGGTAATGTCGGGATGTTGTGGTGTGGAAATGTATGGCTTTAACCTGCGGATAGGGAGATACTTCATAGACACAGTGAGGGTATTGGAATTGCTGCGAAGTCTTTTTAGGAGGAATGTCATCTTCATTTTTCTTTGTTCTAGTGCTTACAATGTAACTTTCGTTTTGTCTTTAAGTCTTGATCCAAATACTTCCCAACACTATTTTCAAGCTGAAAATGCTTTTGAAATTTCATTATAGACTATTCTGTCTGCTTGAAGCAAAAAGGGTGGTTATTCAGAGCTTTAAGTCAGTGCTTTATTCAGAGTCGACACCTGGCCCTCTATAAAGCTCTAAACAGATGATATTAAGTAGGTTAGGTGATGGCTTGCAAATGTCTGGAACTACAGTGTACAGTACATGTACCTTTGAAGATGGAAGCGAAATTTTTTTTAAAGTATTTTTTTTCTTTCTAATTAATATTTTGTGACTTTGGCATACCGGGTACATAAAATTCTTACAAAAATACTTGTATTGTTATTCATTTACTCTTTTTGTTATTGTTGAAAATTTTCAGGTGTGCCATTTCTGGATGAATAGTACTTAAGATCCAAATGAAACTTGCTCTGGTGACATCTTGATGCCATTACCTAAGTCTCCAGTCTCTCAACCCTCCCAGTTACCCCTTGACTTATCCCAACCCTCTCTATCTACACACAACACTCTTATATTTACCACACATTCCTATTTTTCTTTGGTTTCTACTTCCATTTCCTCCTCAACAATAACATCATCACCACCACTACAACCACTCCCACCTTCTTTATCATCATCATACCCCCTTGTTTCTGAGCATCAAGACAAATTAATTTTGGAATCTACTGTCATAGAAACATCTCCGACTTCTTCCTCTTCTGTGCTGTCTCAATCTCACAAACTCAAGCAAAGCTCCTCAATTATGTCTGCTACTTCGTTATCATCTACCTCCTCACAACCCCTTCTAGAATCCCCATCAACAGTAGCTCCTTCTTCTCTACCATCCTCTAGCATCACCTCCTCTCCCCCTTCCTCCTCTCCACCTTCCTCCTCTACCACCACCTCTTCCCCTACCACCTCTTCCCCACCAGCCTCCTCCATTCTACCTGTTCCCTCTGCAATGGAATCTCCGGACTCCACTACATCTAATACAGTAAAAATGGAGGATAAATTGCTAGATGACATGAAGGAGGATTTGATGAAGCTCCGTGATATGTCTTCATGGTCTACTCCTGAGGCAGCTCAACTTGTCAAAGGTATCAGTGCTTGTTATTGGAATGCTGAGGGTCATCAGCAAGAAGTGGCAGAAGCCTTTTGTGAACTGCAGGGATCTGGTAAGTTATTCACATTCTCTCTTCCTCAAAGATATTTGATAATTCTGCTAACAAAGTGCTGGGTACTGTTTTTTATGACCATCCATGGATCTTTTCTACTATCTTATTACATTAGGCCCTTTTAAAGCGATACTGTCCTACTTGTATCTACTTGCATAACTTGCTCCCTCTATTAAAGAAAACAATGCCTAATCAGTGACCATAGTGTCCCCCGTGATCCTCTTTTTCTTATGTTAATTGAGAGCTGAGTTAATGAGATAACCACCTGTCCAGTGACCTTGCATGGTGGTCTAATCCTTCCTATAAACTAGTACAGATAAGCTTTAAGATGTTTATTTCAAGGTTGAAAGTTTTGTTAATTTTGTGCTTGTTTAAAGCGTGAATTAAGAATTGATATGAACTGATGAGATTATGAATGTAGATTATATGTTTCAATGTCATAATAAATGAGTCAGTTTATTCTTATACACATCTTCATTCTTAAAACCTAATACCTGAAACACTTTTACAACGAGTTATTGACTTCAAAATTTTTATTAAAATTGTTGAGAAGATATCTCGCTTTGATTTAGCAAACCCTCAAAAAGCTTGAATAAACGCTCAAACACAGACCCGAAAAAAAAGTTTTACAGAATGATCCTTAAAGGGGATATGATGTATCTCACTGAGCGGGAATGCTTGCGACTGTTGCGAGCATCGCAAATTTGGGGTTTTGCCATGGTTCTTAACAAAATGCAAAAAAGTTTGCAAACAGTTTTCATTGTCGCATACAGTATTTCTTTGCAAATTTATTTTTCCACAAACAATTGCAAGCAATTGCAAAACAGTCGTAAGCCTTTGCAAATGGTTGTAAGATGGTGTCACCGAATTTATTTTTGATTAGCCAATGCTAGCGACCATGTTACTGTATGGTTCCTATATAAAATTGACCCATTGAGTACCTGGAGTTAGCAAAAGGTCCCAAACAAAGGATTGGCAAATAGTTGCTAATCTTGGCAAAAGATTCTGGCTAACATTTTCTTACAGTCGCTAATAGCTGACAACTGCCTTTCTTAAACACTTTCGCAAACATTTGCTCAAATGTTGCTAATTGTCGCTAAACCCCCTGATTTTCGTCAATATTCATCATAAAGGTTGGCGAATCCAAATTCAGTGAGATACCCATTAACTGTGTACTTCTGATCATTGAGCCAGCAACTCTAATTAGGTTATTGTAACCTAAAATGTATGACTTTTCCATTTCAAGCACCTTGTACTGGTATTGTAAAGATGGTACTTTACTATTGTATTTTTATGTCATATTTAAAGGCTAGTCCATCATTTTGTCTTTTATTCAAATGAGAGAAACAGGTCAGTTAAAATATAAGTGACATTTCATACAGAATTAAAAAAAGTTATGCATAGCTAAAATTATAATCAATCAAGCACAAAAAGCAGCAGTACATGTATGCTCTCCCATAAACCAAGCTCCCCATTTATTTTGAGCAGAAAACTATTTGAAAGAGCCCTCTTTTTATTTGTTGATAAAGGAATACATCCCTCCCGTTCATGTGTATTTGCATTGTGTAGATGTGTTCTATAATATATTCGTAAAACATCTGTCCAATGAAAATTTAAACTAAATTAATTGTATGAATTTATTATGTAATTTGGAGAGCTGCTCAAAAACGAAATTACAGGGTTGCAAATTTGTGTTGGATGAATCATAACTTGATAATTGCAATAACTGCATGATTGCAGCATGATACTTTAGCTTCTGAATTCCTGTATTCCCATTAACTTAATGAAGGACTGACTCTATTCCTATATACGCAATGCATAGTACTGTTGAGGCTAGTACAGGCTACCCAGTGTTCAAAAGTATTGTCCAGTCAAATGTTACTACGCAGCTTGAGTCTAGGATGGACTTTCCTTCTTTTAAAGAAAATCATAAATATGGCCAATAGTGTACCACTAGAAATCAGGAAGCTTAAAGATGACGATCGTATCAAATTAACAAATAAAATCAGAGAGGATTGTGGCTGCTCAGCTGAAGGCCCACCTCGAGAGATTTGGCATGCTTCCTGTTCATCAATCTGCTTACAGGAACCACCATTCAACAGAAACTGCTACGGTTAAAGTCCTGAACGATCTTCTCCTGGCCATAGACAAGGGTAATGAAGCCGTGCTCATCCTCCTGGATTATACAGCTGCATTTGACACCATTGACCATACCCTGTTACTTCATCGCCTGGAAAATGACTTTTTCATCACCGGAACTGTGCTTGATTGGATACGCTCATATCTCCACAATCGCAGTCAACGTGTGATCATCAACGACACGCCTTCTGCAACATTTCCACTGATCTGCGGCGTTCCTCAAGGTTCCGTAATCGGCCCACATCTCTTCGTTCTCTACACCAGCCCACTGTCTAAGGTCATTAACTCTCACCAGGGGATTCAACATGCGATGTACGCTGACGACACTCAGATTTATATAACTCTTAAGCCTAACGGGAAGGATGATGCGACTCGGAAACTCAGCAGTTGCCTTGAAGACATTAGGTTCTGGTCTTCTAACAATAGACTTTGCCTTAATGTGCCACTTTTTTCTGCTGGTATGGTCATGAGTCTCTGGCGTGTGATGCAACCCTGGGGAAATTTGAAGTTTTTGTCTGGATGCATTTTAATTATTTGAATGTGGTACATGTATCTCTTATATTGTCCTTGTCACATAAATCTGCAACGCTGGTTGCATCTGGTTGGGATATAGGTGATGGCGGTCTGCGGACTATAGTTATTTGGTTAACTTTGCCCATTGCCTGGCAGCACAGCCAGGTGCACCTAGTGTTCCTTTTTTGTGTGTGATTTGCTATTAATTGTTTATTTCAACTCTGTATTTTGATATCATGTGTTTTTTTTGCCAAATAAAATAATAATAAATAAAAAATAATAATGAACGAAAATCTGAAATGATCCACATTACTTCCAAATTCAGAAACACCGATTCCTTCCCCGACTTGGTTACCGGAGATGGCTCACTGAAGGGTAGTGAATACGTTCGAGACCTGGGTGTTTTAATCGACAAAAATCTTACATTTCAACAGCACATTAAAAACGTATGTAAATCGGCATCTTTTGGAATCTTCAAAATTGGGAAAATTAGGAAACTACTTGACCGGCCCACAACTGCAAAATTAACCCATGCATTTGTATCCTCCCACCTTGATTATTGTAATTCAATTTTTTCTGGTCTTCCGCAATCGTCCCTACTTCCACTTCAAAGAATTCAGAATACTGCTGCAAGGCTTGTTACTCTCTCGAGAAAGTTTGAGCACATAACCCCAATATTGCGTTCTCTTCATTGGCTTCCCATACACCATCGTATAACATTTAAAGTTCTTCTTCTTACATACAAAATTCTCCATGGCCAAGCCCCTAAATATCATTCAGATTTGATTTCCTTACGTTCTTCTAGTTCTTTAAGACCTCTTCGATCATCATCAACCTTGCAGTTAACCCTCGGACCACGTACCGTTACAAAATATGGCGATCTAGCTTTCTCAGTAAATGCCCCTATCCTTTGGAACAAATTACCAGCGCACTTTCATAATATTCATTCTCTCGACCAATTCAAGTCCTTGCTGAAAATGCACCTTTTTAATTCATAAATAATATTCTGCAGTTGTGAGTCGGTCAAAGGAGGTGCACACCTTCTTATTTTTTGTTTGTTCGATCCTATGTTTGATCCTATGTTTGACCTCTTGTATGTATGTTTGATCTCACTCTTTATCTTATTTTTTATTATTATATATGCATGATTTATTGAATAAAGAACAGATGTATAAGTTGTGTGTTTATTATAAGTTTTGGTAAATAATTGTTAAGTCAGAATATGGTGCGCTTAGAGACACCAGTATTAAGCGCCTTGTAAATATTGTTTATTATTATTATTATTATTATAAAATCATCTATCAAGCTGGGATATGTGCCTAGCAAGAAAATTTTGCAATGTTTTATAACATCACATCAGGCACCAATCCTGTTTAAGCAGACGTCATCCTCTAACTAATGGACATATTTTCAATGAAATTATTTCTCAATAATAAGAGTTCAATAGATTTTAAACTTAAAGGTAATACAAAGTTTCTGGAAATTTTAAAATTGGGTAGATAGTGATTCTTTACAATTTTGATATACATCAGGCCTGATAAATAATTTTTTGATGCAAGATATAAAACAAATGAACAATTCCTTCTTTTCGAGGTACTGGTTAAGACTACGGGCCTCGGTGACTCCAATAGTACTATTGGATTCACCTCTTGCGCAGAGTTTTAACCAGAACCTCTCAAGACAGTGTATATTTGTATACTATTTTAAAAGAGGAAGTGATGCTGATAGTAACTCTTTACTTAGAAACATTCACGGTAAGGATAAATGATTGATTAAAGAACCACTGAAATATAAGCCCCCTTTCGAATTTAAATGCCAGTCGAATGATAGAATGGACTGTTTGTTTCTGATTAACATGCTTAGCAACAATATTATAGTATTAATGACTGCTTTAAGAAACATAGTTGTTTTTATACGCTCAAGGGAAGGTTACAATCAAGCTATTGCCCGAGGCTTGCCGAGGGCAATAGCGAGCGTATAAAAACATCTATGTTTCGAAAATTAAAGCAGTCATTAGTACTTTTATATACCGACAAGGGTCATAGAATACATGTGCGACTTACCAATCATGGTAATCAAGTTTGTTTACGCTATCGAGACAGCAGACAGTGTAAGGGTACAAGGTACATACAAATACGTGTGTGGGACTATGAACGGGCTGGTTTTTTGTGTCACTGAAATGTGCCCAGAATTCAAGTAATTTATCTATTAAATGACTATAACAGACAAGAAACAAGTCAAAGGTAAGGACAAGAATCAGTGCTTATCAATATACAGTTGTAAAAGAAATTTTGCATGAAATACCATCAGGAAAGCTATCTAAATTTTTCAGAAATTAGCGACAAACACACCAAATTCAGCGCTGCAATGACGCACAAAACGGCGTAGAATTCAACTTTTCATCCAAATGAATTCAAACACTTGCATTATACAGTCTTCAATACCTGTATCACTGTTATCGCATGCAATTAAATCGCAATCTTTATCTAGACCTAGATCTACGGCTAATAATAAAACGTAGGGCCTGCCCTTTTGGTGTTTTGCTGTTTAGCGACAAATTCTTCGCACACACACAATGTATGGTATCCGCGATCGTTCAAACCAGTTTTTAAGCAAGACTGAACTATTCCTGGTAACTTGAATTTATCCTCGAACTATTACATGGGCGTGGCATTTTTCGTTTATTTACGGGAATGGCTAAAACCATGACTGCAATTTCGACCAATCGGATGGATTTCTTAAGTGTGGTATATAACAAGAGTTAGTATATGCAGCTGAATGTACAATGGCCTCTTCTTACAATTAGCGAACTTGTGAAGAGGAGATGATGAAATGGGCATTGAAAATGTGTGGTTTGTTATGGGACACCATTTGTTAAATGCTAATTTGGTTAGTCCTGTGCGGATATGTCAGTATAGTGTTCGGTGTGTTATCATGCAGGAATTTTGAAAACCTTCTATCTCACCTCCCCTTATGCAATGATAAAAATACATTAATATTTTATGTATATCTAAATAAATTATTGTGATGCTAGAAAGTCCAGAATCAGTTACACTGACTTTGGTCTACAAATTAATGTGGGCACTAATTTTAACCATGTGCACTATAGGATCAATTAGAATTCATTGAATTGTCATGTTTAGAATTATTGAGGCCATAAATACATGTCTATTTTTGAAAATCAACTACGACTTCTCCGTCTTCTATAAATTTGTACATTGTATCTCTCATCTACCATATACATGTTTGGTTATTGGATTTAAATTTGTACCTCTCATCTACCATATATGGTTATTGTATTTAAATTTGTATCTCTCCTCTACCGTATATACTGTATGTTTATTGTATTTAAATTTGTATCTCTCATCTACCATATATGGTTATTGTATTTAAATGTGCATCTTGTTAGAGAGTAGTAGAGTTTAGTTTTAGTTTCGATCAGCCTAGTCTCTTTATTCATGCATGGAATTGACTCAAGTACTGAGGTCGGGTGATTACTAGGCCTACTGATTACACTGTCCATACTTTTAGCAATCAGTTGAGTGATTATAACACTATCACAAAGCCCATCCAATTGCAGACTGAATAATTGATAAGAATAAATCTCCCATGGGAAATTACGATGTATAAGCTGATTACTTGCTTTGTCAGGCCTTGTAAGTAGAAGCTAGGTAGCAATTATAAGGAATCGAAACATTAGACCCCCCCCCCCCCCACCCTGAAAAAATATAGAAGTTTTATTTTTTTTCATATGAGGAATTAATGAGGCCATTCGATGTTGAATTGTATACCATACAGGCCTAATAGTAATACTATATCTTTATACTCTAGACTGCTCATTTTAGGTCTCCTTTATGTTTTTTTAGGCAATGATTTTTTATCCTAGATTTGGTAAAAAAAATTCCTACGTCCTTTGGATTGAAAAAAAGAGGGAAGGAAATTAAACTTTGTATAATGTGATACTCAACCTTTTATTTTATATTGCTGCCGTGTGCTGCAGAACAAGTTTCCTTATGCTTTGATATTGACTGCTAACTTTAGAACCCCAGTCATGCATGATAACTTTCAATTACAAAGTGCAAAGATGTTTGATCAGGTTTTACAGCATCATGATATTGGTATTAAAAAGGAACAAGTGAGAAACTGATGTTTTATCTTCTAAAGCATGTACCGTAAATCTCCACGTATAAGACACACCTGTGTATAAGACGCACCCCTATTTTTTTGGGGGGGGGGGAAGAAAAAAAGAAAAAATGAGGGGAAAGAAAAAAAGAAAAAATGAGGGGAAAAAAAATCATAAAACTACAATTTGAAATTCCAAGGGGTTGCAGCACCAGCCGCCCCCCCCCCCCCCCCCCCCCAGTTCAGTAAGGGTGAAGCTATTAAACCTAGAAAATAACAGAAAATAAAAGTATTTTGAAAATTAGTAGAAACATGTTGCATATATGTTCATTCACAAGTCATGTTCTGAAACGAAGATCTTAAGTTTCAAAACCTTCCTTGAAAAAAACAAGTTAAATCTACTATAATTTGATTTTTTTTTGTTCTCTTATTCTAGAACTGTTCATCAACATGATACTAGCTTTGAACAAGGAAGGCCTATTCAGTCAAAATCCAACGTGGCAGACTGCTTTCTACATTTATAACACTCTATGGAACCTCAGTGATGCCAGTTTGACCCTTGCCCTTCGTCTTGGTCAAGGAGGAATGATCAAGCTTTGTACAACCAACATCTCCCACAAACCTTACAGAGATAATATGGTTCAAAAGGTGTGCTTTATCTTTATTTCTCTATTGATACATGATATTAATTAAATGCATCCCATCTGACATGGAAATAGCTGCTCGCTCTCTCTCTCTCTCTCCTCTCCTCTCCTCTCCTCTCCTCTCCTCTCCACCTCTCTCTCTCCTCTCTCTTGTTATTTGGTAGTCTATGTTCAGATGTTAGTGACCACTTACCCATTTTTCTAGTCTCTAAAAGCTCTAATAATAATAATACTTATCAGCCTAGCTCATTTCGCTTTACTCGGAAGTACTCAGATGATAATATAAGACATTTTCAATATGATCTTTATCATGAAGAATGGACTAATCTCTATAATATGTCAAATGCTAATGATGCATATTCCTTTTTTATTAACCGTTTTACTCAATTGTTTGACAAGCATTTTCCTCTGTCAAAAACTAAACAAACTAAAAGACGCATGAAAAAACCTTGGATTACAAAGTATTTATTAAGATGCATAAAGAAGAAAAATCGTTATCATAAACACTTTCTGCAAAACAATACATTGGATAATGAAAGAAAATACAAAAAAATAGAAATAAATTGAATAATCTGTTAAAGCACGCAAAAAAATCATACTTTTCTAACAGTTTAAAGTTCTTTATAAAAATAATACTAAACAGACTTGGTCAGTTATAAACGCATTACTAAATAAGCCTAAAAAATCTCTACCTGAATACTTTTTTAATGGAACTGAGAAAGTTTGTGATCCAAAACATATAGCAACTGAATTTAATCAACATTTTATAAACTGTTGTAGACAGATAACCACATCAATGGTCAGTTCTTCTAACAATACTTCTTTTAAGGATCATCTGACTGGTTCTATCAACAATTCCATTTTTTTTAATCCTATAACAGAAAATGAAGTTCTACAGATTAGTAAATCACTACAAAACAGTAATTCAGTTGGATTTGATAATCTTAGTACTAACTTAATGAAAAAAATTATATTTTACATTGTACAGCCAGTAGTATTTATATTTAATCTCTCTCTTTCTACAGGCTTAGTCTCAGATAAACTAAAAATAGCTAAAATAACCCCCGTATTTAAAAAAGATGATCTTCATAAATTTGATAATTATAGGCCAATATCTATTCTGCCGTCTATATCAAAGTTGTTAGAAAAATGTATTTATAACCGATTATATTCCTTTTGTTTAAACAATAAAATTCTCACAGATTCACAATATGGCTTTAGGAAAAATCACTCTACTACACACGCTTTGATAGAATTACAAGATAAAGTTTTGTTAGCAATTCATACCAATAAATTTTGCATTGGAATTTTTATGGACCTTTTAAAAGCCTTTGATATTGTTAATCATAGAATACTTGTATCCAAATTAGAACACTATGGGATTAGGGGCTTACCACTATCATGGTTTGAAAGTTATCTTTCTAATAGATCTCAATATGTAGTTTATAATAACAGTTCCTCAAATTTTTCTTCTATTACACACGGCGTACCACAAGGTTCTATCCTAGGTCCTCTACTGTTTTTAATTTACATTAATGATCTTACACATTCTTCTGACCAATTTAATTACATTATGTACGCTGACGATACTACTTTAATTTACACCAAACATAACACTCATAACTTACAAAATAATATCAATACTGAATTAGACAAAGTAACAAAATGGTTCAAATCAAATAGATTGTTGATAAATCCTAGTAAAAAAAATTACATAACTTTCTTCCATAGGCAGTCAAATTACACTAATTCGCTTGATAATTTGTTTATAAAAATAGACGAGGTTCCATTAAATAAGGTAAATAGTGTTAATTTTCTTGGTGTTTGTATTGATTTTAATATGCAATGGGAGGGACAGTCATGTCAATAAAGTCACTCAAAAGGTATCTAAATGTATTGGTATATTATACAGATTAAAGGACTCACTTCAACCTTCAGCATTATTACTACTTTATAATTCATTCATGCTCTCATATTTAAATTATTGTGTTGCTGTTTGGGGTAATTGTAGTCGAACTAAATTAGATAAATTATTTAAATTGCAAAAAAAAGCCCTTCGCATATGCCTTGGATGTCATTATCGTGCCCATTCTGCCCCACTGTTTAGAAAATTGAAATCTCTTAATATTTTTGATTTGTACTATTACTCCATTGCCCTCCTTTGCTTCTTCTACTTTCAAAATAAATTACCTGTTAATATTTTTCAGATGTTCACTCTTAATTACCAGATACATAACCACAATACCCGTTTTAAAAATTCTTTCTTACTTATGGCCAGTAAAAACAAATTAGGTAATAAAATCAGTACGTCATAATTTCCCTGTAATTTGGAACTCCATCCCTAAATATATTTCTGATTGCAAGTCAATTAATTCCTTTAAAAAAAGTTGAAGCAGTTTCTTTATCTCAAATATGTATAGTTACTTATCTTATGTTTATATTTGTGTTATATGTTTTTTGTTTTTTGTTTCTTTTTATTTGATGTTCGTTTTTTTTTTTCTTCTTATTTTAAATCTTTGCTTTACATTATGCTATGAATGCTTTGGGAACTATGCGTGTACAAGGCCTAAGGGCTTTATTTATGTAGTTCCCCATTTCATTTCTAAATTTGTTCATGAATAATTTTGTATCTTTTGTACCAATGTAATTTTTAATCGAGAATGAAATAAATGCGAATTCAATTCAATTTAATTCAATTTGGCAATAGTTCAAGGCTTTGATGCTCTGGAAGTGGTCATTTATTTTCTTTTTTCATGTCATGATGAATTTAAAAGAATCAATCTTCCTATTCATCTATTGTGGTGGTATTTCTTATACCATGCATAAATTATTTGAACTTTAACCAAATGAATACAAGACATGAATTTTGAAATTATAACCTGATGATATTTTGCAAGTCATTTAGGACAAATAAGAAATTAAAACTTATTCTGTGACATGCATTTAAAGAGAAGGTTGAGTTCTGGAAAGAGGTGAAAAATAATTTGTGAGCATTACTCATTCTTATTATGCAAGTGTGGAAGAACATCAGTTAAGACATGTTCCCTGAAAAGCATGGCTCTTCAAATGCCTTCATATTCTAAATATGCATGTAACATCGTAAAAATCGGGGGGGGGGGGGCGGCTTTTTACGCCACGTGTTTGTGTAGTCCCATATACATCTTTCTGTGCAAGTGTTTGTAACTTTACCAAGACTTGGCCAAATTTCTTATCATTTTGATGATTCCACAACCTTGCAATACACACAAATTCGTATATGCTAGATGATCAACCTTTTCTGGTCGGTTCCACACCGTTTCTTTCACAATGCAATCGCATGACCAGAACTCAACTTCATCTTTAAAGTGACTCGGTAACATTGTTGAAGGTTGATGACAAAAATTGCTTAATTTTTGTATAAAATGTTACTTACTATATTCCTTTTACTATACTAACTCTCTGACATGCAAAAAATCCTGAACAAATTCTCAAACCACAAAGATATCTATGGTTTTCTTTGAAGGCGTCGATGTGAGGCACCCTCTAACAGTGATTAACAGTAAATTCTCCCAACCATTTTTGAATTTTCCCAACCGTTTTTCCATGAGAAAAATACATAAAACAGGCTATACAAATCTGTCAACACTTCACTGTCTGGAATGGAATGCAGAGCCATTTTATTGCTTTGTGACGATTTACATTCACCTAAAATGTAATTAAATTGTCCTTGTCTTGATGCTGAACAGGCTTTGACAAGTAGCAGAATAGAAGTAGAATAATATAGTTGGGAGAATTAACGAATCGATCAAATCAGTTTTTCCCAATTTGTACCATGAATAATGATCTGTTTTCACTCAAATTTTCAGATTATCTTTAATTGTGCATCTAGCATTGAAGTCACTACCTTAGCACCACTATCTCTCATCTGAACAATGTTAAAAAGTCCCTTTAATACCACTACTGACAGACAATCGCATGCATGGCATGCAAAGCATTTTAAGCTAAAAGCAAGCAATTAAGGTCCATCACTTTAGTATATTAGTGTTCCATTTAGCACACACCATTACACTAAGTAATGGTAAGCACTTTCTGAGCTATATTTCAGTTTAATCAGATAAAGTAAAGGTACAGGCCTCACTGTTTTCCAATTTACAAAATGTACTTTCATAACATGTTCAGTCAAGCTTATATCTATCTATCTATCTATCTAATGGCTTCTACGTGTATGCGCCAACCAGCTTCACAGCACTCAATTAGTTTGCAGAAGAACCTCCTGCCTCAACGGAATTAAATTCTTCTCTCCCTATTTTTAATCAAATTGACAAAGGTTTTTCTTTTTGTTAGTACATGTACATACTTAAAATATCCTCTCTAGCATTCTCCTGATCAATGATACATGTTACAGGTAGAATTGATATGATGTTTTGTAGATATTTGTCTTGTCAAAGACCAGTATTAAAGCTCTCTCACTTGGTTCTGAGATGAAATTCAATTGTATGAAGCTCTTAGTGTAAACTGTTGTCTGATAATGCCTTTCTAGCCAATACAAAGATTGCAGGGAAACAGTTTATCCATTCAAGTGCCACACATATTTCAAGGGGGAAAAATGACTATTATTTAATGCCCCACTGCCCTACTTGTAGCTACTTGCTCCCTCTATATAAAAAATTTCCCCAATCGGTGCCTGTTGGTCCCCCGTGATCCTCTATTTCTTATGTTATTTGAGAGCTGAGTTGATGAGATAGCAACCTGTCAGTGACCTCGCTGTGTCCCTCCTAGCCACACGAGTGTTGATAAGCTTTAAAGGTTCTACATATTTTTTTATGCAAAGCAGGGATGAGATTCCTCCGCCAATTTTGAGATTTCAAGATGGGGGGGGGAAGACTTTCAGATTATCATTAATTGTACATCTAGCATAGACCTCACTACCTTAGCAGCATTTCTCTCCCATCTGAACAATGTTATAGACTCTAGTCCCTTTATGCAAGATGGGTAACAAATATTTCTCAAATTTAGAACTTAAATGCAAGGAAAATGTGTGCTTTCACATAAATATATTCTAAAGTTTTCTGTGGAAAGGGTCTGTTGCCCCCTTTTAATATTCCTCTGTGTCATCCTTGGTAGAAGTGATGGTAGGATCAAGGGATGTGTAAGAAACCTTTATGTAATGTATATTTCTCATACTTTCTTATGAGCCTAAAATCATAACATCATTTATAACAACCAAGATATTAATTTTCACTGGTCAGGAAAAACAAAATGTAACAATAAAGGAACTCTTTGTGACCTTTGAAATAATAAGTTCCTCTCCCTGCGATGACACATAATGGTACCAAGTGCAGGATGGAAGTGTAGTGTAGGTGGATGGAAATGGATGACTTGTATTAAATTTGAGTGTTTCAGCTGCAACCTTTGGTTTTGAAGGATTAATTATTACTAAAAAGGAAAACAAATTTGCATGAATATGTATATACTTTCTCGAATGAAAATGGCACATAATTGTACAATTTATAAGAAGATATTAAAAATTTATCAGGTAACTTGGTATTTTCACAGACAAATAGTCATCGCTTTCAGCTCTTTAATAGATGTAAGAGATTAATGTTTTTAAATATAGATTGAAGGAGTATGAAGTGTAAAAAGTTATGTATTCATCTCATACTTGTATTAATAATTATACATACATGTAGACATGGCTTATATCAATCAGTGTTTGATTATTGGGGCATTGACATGGTACAGCTGGGGGTTATCTATGACCTTTCTAGTATTTGTGTCTTTTTTTACCAGGAAGAATAACAATTAATCTCCCTTGAGCTATCAAGTTTTCTCTGTCCTTGACTTGAAGTTTAAATCTAAAAATAACTTTTGGAAAAGAATTATAGAATTTCACCCATCAATACATTCATGTATGTGAGACAATCATTACTGTATGTAAATTTGACTCACATGTTACTATTTAAATAATGAGTGTAATTTTGATATTTAAGTTTGCAAAACCTATTTTCAGATATAAGGTTTGAAACAATATTTCAAATTTGGCTACTGGCGGATGGAATCCCAAACATATACCGGTACAGCAAAATTTGTTTTGGAGTGGTTGGTGCCATTTAAATTATTCTATCAGAGCCCAGTTATTTTATGTATTTCTATAGGCAACCTAAACATAGAGCATGACTATTAAGCATTGGCTTCCATTCCAACAAAACCTCTGCCATCTACAGTCCTTATACTGTGCAATTTCATAGTGGTAAGCCTTAGTCTGTTATAGGCTCACTATGTGTTTCCTTGTGTTTTTGTCAAGTCCAGGAAGTAAGGTTTAGTGGGTAAAGGTGTATACCCTCAAGATCCTGTTTATAGAATGATAGTACTCTGGTTACACATCCTACAAGATTTAGAATCATTTTAATAGAGATTCTTTCAATCCTATATTCATGGTTGTTGATGAAGAAATAGATCTGTTTCATGTACATACATGTATGTAACTACAGTATGTGAAGCATGAGTCCTGCTATATGGTTAGTAATGGCACAAATATAGTAAAACTTTGATTTTAAATAAAGAATTGAACTGTTTTTTTTCTGGAAAAGTTGAGAAGTGCCAGAAAGATATGTCAGAGTTACTAATCTGCACTTACTCAATTACGCTTAGGTATAAACATTTATAACTTTCTTTTTTTGTTATCAGATTTTTACCGAAAATTTCACTGATCTGTTTCTTACCTTATGTTTATTCATTGTGTTTGTATTATGTCTTTGTAGAATGTGTTATTTCTAATCAAAGCGTCACTGAATATTCTGCACAACTTAGCCAAGGCACCTGGTAACAAGCATGTATATCGAGAAGAGAAGGTGGTAGAGAGTATGGAACCATTCCTAGAGGGAGACCCTTATCTCAAAGCCGTCAGTATGATGACTCTAGCTTATATTGTTGAAGAAGGACAAGAAGAGATTCTAGCAGAGAAGGGAACCAGTAAGTCAGATCTCCTAATATTCATTGTTCTACAGCCAATCCTTTAAGAATCACCTAAAGTAGGTTGCTACCTCCTATCTCCTACATGTAGCTGTTATTGACCTGTCTTGGAAATAGTTACAAAATCAATTATCTTATCTAGGGTCCGGTGAATTTTGGTTGGTGTGTAAAACCATGGGAACCAAAGAAAACAAGAAAATTGATATTCAAAGGATATATAACCAAAGAATGACAAATTTAGTGCAACATATGTACCCTGGATCATATTTTTTCATGTGTTCTCATATTTACCGTCACTTTGTCTCACTTACAATGAGAGGTAAGAAAATTGCACCATGCAAAGAAATATAGCTGCCTATCAAACTAAAACATGTAAACATAAAACATTATATATTTTTATGCCTCCGTTACGAAGTAGCCGGAGGCATTATGTTTTCGGGTTGTCCGTCCGTCCGTACGTCCGTACGTCCCGTTTTCGTGATCGCGTTATCTGAAGAACTGGTTGATGGATTCCTGCCAAACTTTGGTCATGTATGTATCTTGTAGAGCCGATGAACTGATTAGATTTTGGGGTTACGAGGTCAAGGGTCAAAGGTCACAGGGCTCATTATGTATGCAAAACGAGCTCGTGATCGCGTTATCTGAAGAACTGGTTGATGGATTCCTGCCAAACTTTGGTCATGTATGTATCTTGTAGAGCCGATGAACTGATTAGATTTTGGGGTTACGAGGTCAAGGGTCAAAGGTCACAGGGCTCATTATGTATGCAAAACGAGCTCGTGATCGCGTTATCTGAAGAACTGGTTGATGGATTCCTGCCAAACTTTGGTCATGTATGTATCTTGTAGAGCCGATGAACTGATTAGATTTTGATTTTGGGGTCACGAGGTCAAAGGTCAAAGGTCACAGGGCTCATTATGTATGCAAAACGAGCTCGTGATCGCGTTATCTGAAGAACCGATTGATGGATTGCTGCCAAACTTAGGTCATGTATGTTACTTGCAAAGCCAAAAAACCGATTAGATTTTGAGGTCACGAGGTCAAAGGTCAAAGGCCACAGGGCTCATTATGTATGCAAAACGAGCTTGTGATCGCGTTATCTGAAGAACCGATTGATGGATTGCTGCCAAACTTAGGTCATGTATGTTACTTGCAAAGCCAAAAAACCGATTAGATTTTGAGGTCACGAGGTCAAAGGTCAAAGGCCACAGGGCTCATTATGTATGCAAAACGAGCTTGTGATCGCGTTATCTGAAGAACCGATTGATGGATTGCTGCCAAACTTAGGTCATGTATATTACTTGCAGAGCCGATGAACTGATTAGATGTAGGGGTCACAAGGTCAAAGGTCAAAGGCCACAGGGCACATTATGTATGCAAAAACAGCTCGTGATCGCGTTATCTCAAGAACCGATTGATGGATTCCTGCCAACTTGGGTCATGTATGTTTCTTGCAAAGCCAATGAACTGAGTAGATTCTTGGTTCATAAGGTCAAAGGTCATGGGCTCATTATGTATGCAAAAATAGCTTGTAATCACAATATTCTGAGAACCTGTTAATGGATTACAATTGAACTTGAATTCGAAAAATTTCTTCTGTTTTGGTTTGTAAAATTGCTCTATGACGGAGGCATCATTTTCGACTGCGCGCAGTCGAAGTTCCATCTAGTTAACAATAAAACTATGTGTTCGGCTTACCGCAATAGTGAAATAGATGTTGTTCTATTGGGGGGGGGGGCATTGCCTAAGGATGAAATATTGAACAAACAAAAGGTAGTCAAGTAGTTGTCCTTGATATAATTATCATTGTAACTTATCATTATCAGCTCTCACAAATAATAACACAGCCGAAATGTAAAGTATCTCAAGTTGATACCTAACTCTCATCTTTACTGCATGTAATTGTTTTTATTGAACAACCCATTCCAGATACCATAGAATACCTAGTTGAAATCCTGAAAGACGCTCAGAACAGTAAAGATAAAAGATGTCAAGGGTTATCGGTTGAGGAAGTGACTGCTGCTCTGGGAAGATTAGCTGTTCATGACAACAATAAATACAAGGTAACTCACTTTCCCTTGTTCTCTTCCATTTTCAACTCCATTGTGTTTATCGATAGTTTGCCTTTGTTTCCTTAGGAATAGAAAAGAAGATTTGATTAAGAAATATTTATTAAATTTAAAAAGAAGAATAGCTTTCATCATAAATAGATATCATGCTATACTTTCATGTTTGTATGACTTTGAAGTGGTTTGAGACTATAGTTTGTTTTATCTTCTTGTAGATTGTAGAAGCAGGGGGACTCCCTCTCATGATAAGTATGCTGCATGATGAAAGTGTTGAAACACAAGAAGCCTCAGCTCATGCTGTATGGAACCTGGCTTTCTCTGATGATGTGAGTGAGAAACTGAGAAGTAACACAGACTGTATGATGGCATTACAAGATCTCTCGACTAGTTCCTCATCAGAAGTTGCTAAGGCTGCTAATGGTGCATTGTGGGTAATCAACAAAGAGGGAGAGAAGAAGGATCTGGTGAAGGAGAATGAGGATGGTAAGGTTTGTTTGTTTGTTCCCTAAACTTCACCCACAGGTCTATTTGTACACTCAATTCCTGTCTTATGCATGTTACATTTGATACAATGTATCTGTATCCTAGATGATTAGCCCAGCTTCAGCTTCCTAATGAGTCAAAGTTTACTTAATGCAAGAGTGTCAAATGTAGATGAATGTATTACTAGTGAACATATAGCCATTGCTGGGATTAAAAACTCACAAAAATCTGCCCTAACATTTGAAGAGACAGACTTTTAGGTTGATCTATGGTCATTTTGCTTGCTGGGAAATGGTTTAACAACAAATCAAGTTCAAAGTCTCAATTTTAGTTCATTGCTGTAATACCTGTGTTGAATTAAGAAGGTACTGAGAGATTTTGTTACGAAGTAGCCGAAAGCATTATGTTTTCGGGTTGCCCGTCCGTCCGTCTTGTCCCATTCTCATGATCGCGTTATCTCAAGAACCGATAGATGAATTGCTGCCAAACTTAAACCATGTATGTATCTGGCAGAGCCAATGAACTGATTAGATTTTGGGGTCAGGGGGTCAAAGGTCAAGGGTCACAGGGCTCATTATGTATGCAAAAATAGCTCGTGATCACATTATCTCAAGAACCGATTGATGGATTCCTGCCAAACTTAGGTCATGTATGTATCTAGCAGAGCTAATGAACTGATTAGATTTTGGGGTCACAAAGTCAAAGGTCAAAGGTCACAGGGCTCATGTATGCAAAAATTGCTTGTGATCGCGTTGTCTCAAGAACCGACGGATGGATTTCTGCCAAACTTTAGTCATGTATGTATCTTGCAGAGCCAATGATCTGATAGATTTTGGGGTCAAAGGTCACAGGGCTCATTATATATGCAAACATAGCTTATCACATTATCATTAAACCAATGAACAGATTACCATTACAGGGCTCATTATGTATGCAAAAATAGCTTGTGAACGCCTTCTTATTAGAACTGACGGATAGATTACTATCAAACTTGAGACATGTATGTATCTTGCAGAGCCATTGAACTGATTAGATTTTAGGGTCATAAGATCAAAGACCAAAGAGTCATACATATATTATAATAAAATAACTTGTAATCGCGATATTCTGCGAACCTGTCAATGGATTACAATCAAACTTGACTTTGAAAAATTGCTTTATGGCTGAGGCATCGTTTTCGACTGCGTGCAGTCGAACATCCATCTAGTTGTACTTGGAATTCATCTTAACCTGTAACTGTTCTTGTTTTTGTTTCCAGATACTGGATTGGGACATAGTCTTTCTAGAAAGCAGCCACATATAATGCTGAGCTACCAGTGGGGTTGTCAACCATTAGTCCTTAAAATGAGAGATGTATTGGCGGTAAGCTTCTACATTTAGAAGTACCGGACTCAAATTTATAGATTTAACTTTTCTATGATTAACGTACTATAGTCAAAGTTCTTACCATTATAAAAATCCACTGTTGGTCATAAAGGTAGAATATTTTTTTTACCCCAATTTATGGAATGATTTTGACAATGATTTATTTCTAATAGATCTAGATAATAGTATACATTCTCAAATTTTATTGAATAATAATTGACAAGTGTTTGTTTTGCATGACTGCTAAAGCATGTATATATGCTACTGTGTTCAACAACTAGGGGACCTACTTCCTTCAGCCATAAATGAGGATTAATGCCTCATAAAAGGACACTAATATAGCACATCGAAACGGTTTTGATCCTGGGGCCTCAGTCAGTTACGAGGCCATTGCTTTGTCACTGAACCATGACTGTACGCAGCGGGGGCTAGGGTAGGGGGCAGCCCTCATAAATAAAAAACCCAGAGAAAATGCAATAAATTATCAAAAATTCATGGCATTTTCCCCCTGGTCCCACATGGGTACGGACTGCAAGCTACCTTTACTGAGCTGTAAAGCTAGGGGTCTAATAGCTGTGCTGCTTTATGTGTAGCTATACAATATTAGGGTATAGGTACTTTAGTACAATATACATACGTATACATACCATAACCCTCGGACCTCGTACCGCTACAAAATATGGCGACCGAGCTTTCTCAGTAAATGCCCCTATCCTTTGGAACAAATTACCAGCGCACTTTCATAATATTCATTCTCTCGACCAATTCAAGTCCTTGCTGAAAACGCACCTTTTTAATTCATAAATAATATTCTGCAGTTGTGAGTCGGTCAAAGGAGGTGCACACCGTCTTATTTTTTGTTTGTTCGATCCTATGTTTGATCCTATGTTTGACCTCTTGTATGTATGTTTGTTTGATCTCACTCTTATCTTATTTTTTATTATTATATATGCATGATTTATTGAATAAAGAACAGATGTATAAGTTGTGTGTTTATTATAAGTTTTGGTAAATAATTGTTAAGTCAGAATATGGTGCGCTTAGAGACACCAGTATTAAGCGCCTTATAAATATTGTTTATTATTATTATTATTATTACCAAATTAACACATACAACTGTCACTGAGATAAGGCTACAGGTTTTTAGCACCTGATCAACACCAGTCCATCCTAAATATGATCCGATTAACAACCCCTGGCCCCATCCATGTTCCCTTTCCCATTCTAATGTGGTTTGATAAAGCTTGAGCTCCACACCAATTACACATTTTTAATAGAATATGGGCCCTGACTCTTTTGGTCCTCTTTTGACAAGGTGGGCCCAATATTACATAGTACATTTATGATTCCTTTTATTATTAGTTGTATAGTACGATTCAACTTGATAATTGAAGTAGAATGTTTGATGAATCAATTTACAACTACTAGAAAACTTTCTTGTTTTGATTCTTGGCAGAAAGCTGGATACAACATTTGGGTTGATGTTGACTGCATGTATGGTTCTACATTACAAGCTATGGCTGAAGCCATTGAGAATGCCTGCGCCATTGTCATGTGTATGTCAGAGAGATACAAAGAGAGCCCAAACTGTAGAACAGGTAAGAAAATCATCAATATTATGTAAATCTTTGCTTACAAACAGAGCTCTAATCGTAGAATTGTTAACTATACATCTTACGACGGATAATCAACCTGTTCAAAACATCGAGCCACTCCTACCACCCATCCTCTCCAACCGGCGCTGTAGTTCTCCTTAGAACTATAAGCTAAGAAAGATAACCAACAGTCCTTTTCAGGACTACATACACTCAGGAAAGAAAGATTACAGAGAAAGGACTCCCCAATCCTCCACCCTCTCTAACATGGTGCAACCGCAAGCCTACTGTATATACATCTTATGTAAAACATTGCTTACAAATGGAGCTCAAGCAGTTGAACAGTGAAAGATACTGTACTAAATCATAGATCATATTAACTTACATGTATCATTGTACAATTCAGTTTGAAAGACTAATGATTTGTTTACGTTTATGCAGAGTTTAGGACCCAAAAGCAAGTCTAATTCTCATTGAGAAACTTGTTGATGATAATTTTATTATAGAAGCTGAATATGCATTTCAACTGCGAAAGCGTATCATCCCTGTGATGATGGAAGAATACTACCAGCCCGATGGCTGGCTTGGTATCATCCTTGGTGCTAAGTTCTATATGGATTTCTCTGGGAGGCTAGACATTGAGGAAGAAATGAACAAGTTACTCAAGGAAGTTCAGATGCATTCTGCAGAAGCCAAGATTATTTACAAAGATGGTATGCCTTCCTTCTCTCTTATTTTGATAGGGACCTTGGCTAAATATGATCTCTCCAAGATTTAATTGGATGATAATAGTGCCAAGTTTAAAGATGTGTGAAAATGAAAGGACACAAATGAATGTTAATGGATATTGATTTTTATGCCTCTGCTACAAAGTAGTTTTCGGGTTGTCCATCCATCCATCCGTCTGTACGTCCCGTTCTTGTGATCGCATTATCTCAAGAACCGATTGATGGATTACCCCCAACCTCGGGACATGTATGTATCTTGCAGGGCCAATGAACTGATTAGATATTAGGGTCATGAGGTCAAAGTTGAAAGGGTCATACATGTAAATGAAAAATCGCTTGTAATCAAATTTAGCTGACATTTAAGCCTCATCAAGATGATATATGCATTCACTTATTCTTCCTCTGTGTGATAAAATTATAATTCTCAAGAATTATGTAGTTTACCTTTGGACTCTTCTGGAATTGCCACTACATTTGCCTAAGCTACATTAAATGATATTGAATTTTGAATATGATTCCCAGATTTAAGAGCTTAAATTCTTACGTTCCTAATTTCTTTACTCCTTTTAAAACTTATTACCATTGTAAAATATGAATAAATGTTTTTGACTTTCAGATACTGATGATGGAGTTTTGGTTGGTGCTAGTATTTCATTTCCTCTAGAGAGTGCAGGGATATCAATTAAAATGGAGAGCTTGGATTGGTCTGCATCTCAAGTACAGGATTGGCTCATAGAAAATGAGTTAGAGCAGTAAGTATGAAGTATTTATTATTATGTATTGAGCACTATATAAGCCTAGGATATTAGAAGTAGTAGTAGTTATAATAGTATTATAAATTGTGTCTTAGTCTGGCAAGCAGAAAACTAGATGCAGTTATTGTTAGGCCTGTGTAAATTATTATTTTACCAGTTTTCAAAGTTTAATTAACTTCTGATTGATAAGTAAAATAAGTTTAACTACTATTTCTACAAAAATTGTATACCGGTATATCATAACCCGGATTTACCTCTGAGCTATCATGGGTACCGTATTATTTTCTTCATTTTGTATTAACTGTGAACATTGGTTGGCTCTATGAATACATTTTCTGTTTTCTTCAACTTAATTGTCTCACCTTCTACTGGGAAAAAAAGTCCTTTATGAAATTAATATCATCACAAAAAACAAACAAAAATAATTTATATCATTTGCAATTTGTTATACCGATATGTGCATGTATATAATAAATATCTTCTCTCGCATTTCTCTCTCTCTCTCTCTCTCTCTCTCTCCCTTTCTCTCTCTCTCTCTCTCTCTCTCTCTCGCTCAGCTTGCGACCATTGATGGCTGAATATAATGGTAAGCTACTCAATCAGCTCTACAAAATGAGACAAGAGGCTCCAGATTTCTTCTACTTGAGCATTAAAGAAGACTTTGGCCTGAAAAAATTGATTGACATCTTAAGATTTACAGAAGCACTTGACTCATTGCTCAGTAATTAAATCAGCTTTCTATTAGGTCTTCATTAGCTAAGCAAAGGCTAACCTAGACAACTCAGCCCAAGATTTGGTCTTTATTGACTACACGGACTAACTCAGCTCAAGGTTTGGTCTTTATTGACTAGTCAAAGACTAATTTGGTTCTATATTCGGTCTTGATTCAATTCTGATGGAAAAAAATAATTTATTGTTGTTAATGATTGGCTCTTCCAAAGAACCTAAGCCTGTACATGTGTCTGAAAATCATTGCCCCATTTTTTTTTCTCTCTCTCTCTCTCTGTATGTCTTAAATCAACTCTGAAGCGCATGTCAAGAGGCATTTCATATTGCCAACTGATCAGTGTTAATGTTATATCAAGCATTCCTCACATTTATAACTTTTTACATCTTAACATAAGTATATACTGCCTACGACTCAACAATAACTTTTCATGAACTCATACTCAATATTCTATTCTTAAACCATCATCATAGGTTTTGTATAGATTTTTTTTCTTTTTCCAAGTACATCTGTGTACATCATTGTAAATGAAATCTAATAATGGTTGAAGCCATATGCCACTCTTGTGCTATATTTGTATATGGTAATATATTGACTATGCATACTACTCTATCTTTCATCAGATTTAATGTCAATATTTGGGAAACTTTGAAGTATTTTGTCATCTTGTTCCATATATTACCAAGTATTGTGGAGTTCAGATCATAACTTGATATATGTCAATTAACTTCAAATTAGGTCTGATACATGGTCTGGTTTGGCCATTAACGTCATAATAATGAAATAAAATGTAATATGTTGTCGTTAACATGTGGGACAATATAGCTTTGACTTGCAGAATACAAAAGGTCTTGTACAGTCATTGGTACAGGAGTTGTGGTTCAAGAGTTTTAACTCTTAAATGGAGATACAAAGTCATGGTTTTTAGCAGTGGCATATGTCCTTTGGCGAGACATAATGCAAATGTGCCACTTTGCACCCAGGGGGGGGGGGGGGGGCTGGTAGATGCCAAAAGCAATAGTTATTGAATTCTCTGACATGCATTCTTTTATAGTGGTCATACGGTGAGAATATGCCATTGAGAACGAAACAGTTATGTGCATGCATTGCAATTCTTATTACATGTCTGGTTATGAAAGCTGTGTGCCAAAAATGACAAAGTTTTAGGGTTTATTATTAGTACATGTATTTGTTTAGTGAACACATGCAGTTTTAGATTTTATTGTTTGTTTTTACCATTTCTGGTGCTCTGAAGTTTATTTTATTTTAACAAAAATTAATTTGTGATGAAATTTATTTCTGAAATGTTTATGATTTGCAATAATTTTCCTTTCATGTTGTGGTTTGGATGTGGTACCAGTGTTCTATTCCTGGGTACATCAGTCAATATTTGGAATTCTACAGTGAAATTTTGTTTTAAGAGTATTGTTTATGAAGATTTTTATTTTTCTACTTTTATAAAGAAGGATTGTACATATTATACAAAGATATGGTGATGCCTATTTACATCACAGTTATATGTGCAGATAAGACACCCTTACATGCAATCACTTACTATGCTATGTGCAATTAGATGTACATGTATACTGCCGAACCTTACAGGTAATAATAAAATAGAACTATATACAGTGTAATAATGCTTTTGAAAGCTATTTGAAAGTTTCAAGCAATTTGATAATTGAACAAATGTTTAATGTCTTTCATATCCTTGTGTATTTTGTGTTTACTTTACAGCATTAACTGCACGTTTTCACATTGATAATTGATCAATTGTTGTGTTCCCCAAATTGAGACATACTTAGTTATTTTGGTGCTTATGACAATTCGGAATGATTTTGTATAAAAGACCATAGAATGGTAAATCGTATCTATAAGTTGTTAGCTACTGGAATTAAGTAGCTAAGTTGAAGTGATTTGTTTAGCTTCTACATAATTAAATGAAATGCTGTTAACCCAAGATAGGTATATGTGGGCAGTTTGAATTGAAAGTAGAAAAGAATAGTTGTAAGATTATGTGAATGTGTGAAGTAGAACATATATGATTAACAAAATGATTGGTGGTGTATTTTTATTTTTTTCGTTTGAATGCACAAATATTTGTATCATTACCTATAATTGGACACTAAGCTCATTAAGGATGTTGGCTCCACAAGTTTGACACACCAGGGTGATAATAGGGTATAATACTGATTGAGCTGTACGAAATCTCTTACATGATTGATATAGTGGCTGTACAATTTCGATTTTATATAACCTAGAATTTACTTTACCGTACTATACATTTTTGTCAAGTGGACATGAGCTGAGCAAGTCCTAGAATTAATTCCACACATTACAATGAAATCCAATATTGTAGTTTATCTAATGAACAACCCTGATGGTAGAGCTGCTGAAATAGGAATACTTTGATGTAAATTCATATGTATTATTCCAATGGGACATACATATTGTAACTCAATCCCGTTCCCTGTCTTCTCAACCAGCTGCAAGCATAGATCATTTGGTAGATTGTATCATTTATGTTCATACTCTTATGAATTGCCTTTTGGTCATTTGTATGTGAGCTTAGAAGTCTTGCTTTAATGAAAATATTTCTGTCAAGTGTGTTGGTCATAATTATATTGTAAAAAGATGTGTGCTTGTATGTAACCCTTAGTCATTAAGATGCCAGTGCAATATTGTCAAGAAGTATTTACAATATACATGTATGTATAGTATCTTGGTGCAGTATTGCAATCACTATATCAGTTTGATTGGACATGTAAAGAAATGAACTTTGCCATACATGTATATCATAAAGTAATATGCACTGTTCATTTATTTGATGTGATTGGTATACAATAGTTGTGTCCATGCAGTGCTGTGTAATTCCATCTTCAGCTTTTAATCTTTTTTGTCTTCAATTCTATATGTATCAAGGTAAAGCTACAGTCCCATATACGTCCCGGACCGTCCCGGACCATCCCGGACCCCATCCGGGGTGATCCGGGATTCGGTCCGTGTTGACACCGTGTTGGCACCGGGGTGGTCCTGGATGGTCCTGGATGGTCCTGGATGGTCCTGGATGGTCCTGGGCGGTCCGGGAGTCGACCCCGGATGTTTTTGACGGTCAAAAACTGCCGGGGTGGTCCGGGACGGTCCGGGACAATAGTTTGATCCGGGGTGATCCGTGTAGCCACCGTGCTGGGTCCGGGGTCATCCGTAGTGGCGCCGGGGCGGTCCGTGTTGATCCGTGGCAGTCCGGGAGTGAGTTATTGACCGCCCAGGACCATCCAGGACCATCCAGGACCACCCCGGTGCCAACACGGTGTCAACACGGACCGAATCCCGGATCACCCCGGATGGAGTCCGGGATGGTCCGGGACGGTCCGGGACGTATATGGGACTGTAGCTTAAAAGCATCACACTTTTTTTAACAAAACATCCCGGACCATCCCGGATCACCCTAGACCATGGTCCGGGATGGTCCGGAGTGGTCCGTGCTCGTCCGTGCTGGTCCGGCTTTATATGGGACTGGGGCTTAATGCAGATTGGAAAAACAGAGTAGATGTATGCATAAAAGAACAACATTATTGCCACAAGATGTACAATGAAAGATAATGAAAATTTTATTCAAATCCCATCTGTTTATATACAGAAGTAAATAATATTACATTTAGTCAATAGCATACTTATAATGGCAGTACCAACTACTACTGAAAAGAACAAGTAGGATTCCTGTTAACATTGCCTTAAATGAAGTTAACTCAGTAATTAACTCAGAAGTTAATACAGTAATTAAAACATGTGTTTGCAGTTATGCAGTCTAATTTCTCTTGTAAAATAGATTTTGAATACTGTACTTCTAATGCAACCTCCATGTTGTTTTATCAAATAACTTGTATGGCTATTACACAATACCAATGTCTATTTTTTACCTTGCTATTTAGGGGAAATGTGCACCTTTCATAAACATTTGTTTATTGAAAATATCTTGGTAATAAAAATTGTCAGGAAGACTACATAAAACATTTATATATTTGGTTATTGCTATTTTTTTTTGGAAATAACCCTTAGGCAGGTCATATATTGTGGAAGCATACAGCTTAAGGAAATGAGAGAGAAGCTCAATTATACACTTGGTTTGGTGTAACAGCAATCATGTAGTCAAGGCTCGCAGTTTCTATTCACATTTTTTTTAAATTGTACACGTTACATAGCCTTTACTACAACAATTATTAGCTACAATATGATTTCCATGATCGACCAAAACATATTCAACCCTGACCGTTCACTACACAAAACAATTAAATTATTAATACCACAAAAAACAAATTACATGTACTATCATAGAACATGTATACTTGTTTAACTTCTCCTGTGCCATTTGTTGTAAATAAATATTCTAAAGTTAACCTTTGACTTGCAAATGCTTTGTTTTATTGTTAGTTTGGGCCTCAATATCGGAATAGACTTCACTGTGAAGACAAGTGATTAAAGAAGAATATGGCCATTCTAAGCCTACACCAAATTAATCAAGACTTAAATTGAATGGTAGAATTTGTTGCCCACAGCATAGAAGGAATTAAACCAGTATTAAATCAAATACAATACTAAAATTATTCACTAAATTTATCATTTCTCAAATTGGAATGAATATTCAGTTCTGTGATACACATAAAGAACATTCACAGTTGCTTTACAATCAAGACCTGCTCAATTTTTATTTCAAACTACAATAAATAACAGAACTTTTTAATTATATCACATAATAAACAGCACAGACAATGGCCACAAAAAAAAATCACATACATCTCATTACATGATTTATGTCTAGTCACATATACAACATAACAGCTGATATCTTTATTCCTGTTATGTTTGTTTTTAAAGCAATGAAGTAATACATATGTACCAGCATATTAAAAGTGGAAGAAGTGGATTGAACAGTCAAGCATACACTATATATCTAGGTGTAAACAAAGGAACATTTACCAAGATACATTTCACATTTGTTGCAACTGGTCAATCAGATACATACATGTACATACCTCTAATTTGCATCGTATAAATATATATGAACATGCTATATAATGAGCTTATGTATTAGGTCTCTAAAAAACGACATGTATCTGCCGCATAATAGTTGCACTTGTGCCATCCTATTGAAAAAATATACATTTAGTTATATACATGTAAATTGTATAAACGTACCTGGCTGGGTGAATTAAAGTTAATTTTATGTGTTCCTGCTCCTCAAAAAATGATCTTTTGTGCATAGAGAGGTACAGACCTTTACAACACAATTATGCGAGTTCCCCTAACAAAGTTGGGTAATAATTCTAACTTGAAAGCCGTTTAGTCCACTTTTGAATTCACGAGTATCTACAATACACTAGCAAGTCCCTGCCAAAGGCACAGAGTACATCACCATCATTAACTTGTAATTAATGATATGGATATTTTGACACAAAAATAAGATATAGGGAATAAAACAAAATGTATATTGCTAAAACTAAATAAACCTATCAACTTTTAAGAGAAATGTAGTCGAAAAATAATCTTCTTTTTCGGCTGTCCATACATTTAAGTACAGGGGCAAATCCAGGATTTGGTAAAAGGGAACCCAAATAGTAAAACTGGTTGAAAACATTTTAAGGGGGTTTGTACCATGTAGGTATTTTAAAGGGGGGAAAAAACCACATCACAAAAAGACGCACTTCACGAAGATGGATTTCCATTTTCCTGCTGGTTCCGTATTTTAATATTTTAATAACTTTGTATTTAAACATACATTAGAAATATATTGAGATATGAGCAAACAATGGAATCAGACGAAGGTGTATCACTCAGTGAGTGGGTGATCTAATGTCTACACCAAATGGAGATGGCATCTTCCTGAGCCATGGACTGTTTCTCCTGAATCCAAAGTTACCATGGTAACCAAAGATAGGTTTGACATCTTGCAGGAATTGGGCGTGGCCATTTACTTGGTCCATACAGTGTCCAGCTAAAGGATAAAACAGTGAAATAAATTGTTGGATTTCCATCAAGAAAAGCATTCATTGTATAGAATCTAAGTGACAATGTATTGATCTTGAGTAAAACCAGGCTCTAAAAGGCATCATCCCTCCATCATATGATATTATTATTATTATTATCATTATTATCATAATTATTATTACTATTATTATTATCAGCTTCTAGTTTTAGAGTAGACCCCTTTTGTGTCAACACATGTATACGAGCACAGATCATTCAGTTTTCATATGAAAAAGTGTGACGGCAGTATACCTTTGGCAGCTCCAGGTGCTTGGTTGCGTGCGTGGAGGTACTTGTACCCTGACCCAGACTCAATGAATCTGTCGATGACTGGCCCATCAATTGATGTGCCTCCTTTGTCCTGTAAAGGGAACAAAAATTGGAACATAAAAAAAGTCGTAAGTTTTAAGTTATGTATAATGATATGTTTGTAAAACTAAAAAGATACAAATTCTTAACTTTTTAATAAACTCTGATAGTGATACATGAAAGGAATGCCTTCATTTTCAAGAACTTAAAATGTGTCTACTCTAGGTGTTTACACTTTAGGAATTAAGGCCTATAATATTCTAATTCAAACTTTATTGATTTAAATCCAAACAGGTAGGATCATTCTCAATTTTTGTATACCAGTACATCAGATGACAAATTTCAAAGTTGTAGTGTAACATAGATTATTGAGTATAAAACTAAGAGCAAAGATAACAATAACCAGTAGTGACACAGGGGGGGGGGGGGGTAGGGGTTTAAACCCCTCCCCTTGGTCTTGGGCTGCCAAGTGAGGAAAAAAATGCCTGTTATGGTCTCAATTGTGTTAGTAGGATCTTGATGCCAGGAAAACATCCAAAAACATCACTTACGGGTGTTCAAAATAGCACCCTAAAAAATGGCCTCGCCGCATAGACCTATAGCGGCTTGGACTTCGCGGCTTGTGGACGATCGTCATTGGGTCAAACCCTTCTCAAGGTTTGGACTTAGACCTCTAGATCTAGTGGACTTTGGAGTCTGGACTAGTCTAGAGGTTGGACGAATTCAACAGAAGAAGTCAAGGACAATGAAATGAAATTATTGAAAACACTAGTACTATAGCAGTAGCAGACTTAGACCGAATTTTCCGTCTCTTTCGTTCGTTAGCCTCTTATTGGGGTAGGGTCGGCTCTCTCTTTAGAGACGGAAACCATCTATACACATTCCCTTGATAACTCAAGAGAGTTTAACACGGCTCGCAAGATTTTCAACATGGATGTCGATTTTGACCCATAATTTCCTTAAAAGGGACTAGGTCTAGGGTCTATTAAACGGATTATTTCAGTCAAGTTGGTAAGTGGAACCTATGTACTAATGTAGTATAACCTTCTCCTAATTTTAAATAATCAATGCATGAGGTAAAATGACATTTTGGGGGATTTTGGGGGCATAACGCCACGACCTGAAATGGCCGTGGAGTTATCAAGGGAATGTGTATAGACTATAGACCCTAGACGGTTTCCGTCTCTAAAGAGAGAGCCGACCCTACCCAAATAAGAGGCTAACGAACGAAAGAGACGGAAAATTCGGTCTATAGCAGACTATAGTGATACTAAGTAACTACACTGTACATGTAGATCTAGTCTACCAAGCATCAGACTAGTCTCTCAAAGTCTCTAGATTCTATATTTACCTGTCCTGTTTTCCTGAGAGTTGTGCTAACTTGAGCTCTGGTGAAATATAAATTCACATGTTTATCCTTTTGTGAATTATAACCTGGGATAGCAGGTCCTAGTTTCGGTTGTGCCATCGAATAATCTTTTGATATAGTGTCTATAGCGATACAATCCAATAAGAAATTCTTCTCCAACTCCTCTAATTCGTCAACAGAAGGAGTTGGTGGTCCGCGTGGTGTTTTTTTCGACGTCTTAATCTTATTTGTTGCTGAGTCAGGCATTTTGATTGTCAATTTCACTCCTGTTTTTTATGCTGAAAAGATGATAACGTAAATGTGCTCTGATTGTCAAGATGGGCTCATATATATGCTGATGCTTCAAGCCTCAACATACAGCTCTCAGTGTCGAGTTAGTTCAGGATCAGGCCAGGCCAGGGTTATGATGCCTACACTGTTGTTTACAACAAGCGTCCTGTAAACATATCTGCTACCAAGCCGCTTTCAATGCACAATACATGACCGCATGTTGCCTAGCAACACGTAATTGATTCCACGCAGTATATCGTACTTCCGTGTATAGCGCCATCTACTAGTACTAGTATTATAGGTGAACCCTATTATTGATTACCAAAGAGATACATGTTTCAATAGTTCTACAATGGCAGATATTTAAATTACCAAGTCACAGATCGCTTTCTTCCAGGTGTAGAGGTTCTCGGCGATAGGTTCCAATCTCTCTTGGTCGCTTTAGGTGTTTTCATGAGAGTGAAGTCAAGTACTGCTTTCACCCTTGGTCTTCTGAAGTACCCTGAAGCGTGTTTATCACTCAATGCATCATAGGAATTGATCAGTGGCTTCCTGTTTGTCACCTTCAAAATAACAAGCAGTACAGAAACTAGACGAAAATTCAAGCAAAAAGAGCAAACTGATTCACATTAAAAGATGAAGCCAATGACTAAAGGGATTAATTTTTCAGTCTAATCTGAGGATTTGAGGGTCCTCAACAATAATCAATAATATCTACAACTGATGAAGAATGTCAAAGCTATAATATTTAATTTTACATTTTTTTATTGAAAAAAAATCATCATGAAGATCATATCTTTTTTCTTTTGAGCAGCTAATACACACAGGGTATCAGTATATTAATATACTCCTATTTTCATAATTCCAGGCCCGTAACCAGGGAGGGGGTTCGGGGGGTTCGATCGAACCCCGGCTAAAATTTTCAAAGGTAAAAAAAAGGGGGAAGAAAAGAGGGAAGGAGGAGAAGAAAGAGAGGAAGAAAAGAGAGAAAAAAGGAGTGAAAAGAGGGGAAGAGAAGAGAAGAGAAGACACGACAAGACATGAAAATCCGGTTTTAAAGCCCTTCGAAAATTGAGAAAAGAGGAAGGGGAAAAAGAAGGGGAAAGGGAAAGAAAAGAACAAAAGAGAATGAAAAGAAAGAAAAGAGAGAAAGGGAAAGAGAAAAAGAGGAAGAAAAGGAGAAAAGGAAAAAAAATGAAAAGAAAGAAAATGAGATAAGAAAAAAAAAGGGAAAAGGGAAACAAAAGAAACGTGAAGATCATATCTTTTTTCTTTTGAGCAGCTAATACACACAGGGTATCAGTATATTAATATACTCCTATTTTCATAATTCCAGGCCCGTAACCAGGGAGGGGGGGTTCGGGGGGTTCGATCGAACCCCGGCTAAAAAATTTCAAAGGTAAAAAAAGGGGGGAAGAAAAAAGGGGAAGGAGGAGAAGAAAGAGAGGGAGAAAAGAGAGAAAAGAGGAGAGAAAAGAGGGGAAGAGAAGAGAAGAGAAGACACGACAAGACATGAAAATCCGGTTTTAAAGCCCTTCGAAAATTGAGAAAAGAGGAAGGGGAAAAAGAAGGGGAAAGGGAAAGAAAAGAACAAAAGAGAAGGAAAAGAAAGAAAAGAAAGGAACGAGAAGAAAAGAGAGAAAGGGAAAGAGAAAAAGAGGAAGAAAAGGAGAAAAAGGAAAAAAAATGAAAAGAAAGAAAATGAGATAAGAAAAAAAAAGGGAAAAGGGAAACAAAAGAAACGGGGAATAAAAGAGAGGAGAAAGAGGGGGGTAAGAGCCTGGGAGGAGAGGGGGTAAGAGCCTGAGAGAAGAGGGGTGGGAGTAAGAAAGAGAGGGGGATGTTGGGTGGAGTCGCCACGTCAAGGGATCAAGACAAATACGCATAGATAATTATGTTACTGTGTCGGTATTCTTGCTCGATCCTCGTGTACTATATCAATGTAGAAGTTTGAAGTCGGTGAGATGTAGTAGATCGGTCGGACGGCAAATTTGTTTTCCCTATACGAACTGTGACTTTTTATCGGGCAAAGATACATTTTTTAAATTTCAGTCGGTATATGAATCGTCTTCTTTCTCTAATAATTAAACGAAACGTCAAAGCTTCTGCGCTTCGCGCTGGAGACATTTTGTATTAAGCGCTATATAAAAAATAAAAAATTACTATTATTATTATTAACTGAATTCAGATAGGAATTAAGAGTCGAAAACAGAACAACGAATCTTCTTCGTTCTCTAATGATTGAATGAACCGTCAAAGCTTCCGCGCTCCGCGCGGGGGGGGGGGGGCAACTGAATTCAGATAGGAATTAAGAGTCGAAAACAGTTCAACGAATCGTCTTCTTCATCTAATAATTAAATGAAACGTCATCGCTTCTGCGCTTTGCGCGGGAGGGGGGCAACTGAATTCAGACTTGGATTAAGAGTCGAGAACGGTAGGCCTACCACGAATCGTCTTCTTTCTCTTATAATTTAATGAACTGTCAAAGCTTCCACACTTCGCGCTGGAGGGGGCAACTGAAATCAGACAAGGATTAAAAGTCGAAAACAGTTCAACGAATCGTCTTCTTCATCTAATAAATTAAATGAAACGTTATACAATATCTTCTGCGTGTGTGCGCTTTGCGCGGGAGGGGGGCAACTGAATTCAGACTTGGATTAAGAGTCGAGAACGGTAGGCCTACCACGAATCGTTTTCTTTCTCTTATAATTTAATGAACCGTCAAAGCTTCCGCGCTTCGCTTGGGAGGGGGCAACTGAATCAGACAAGGATTAAGAGTCGAAAAAAAGTACAACGAATCGTCATCTTTTTCTAATAATCTAATGAATCGTCAAAGCTTCCGCACTTTGCGTTGAAGGGGGAAACTGAATTCAGACAAGGATTAAGAGTTGAAGTACACAAATCGTCTTCTTTCTCTACAATAGTTTAATGAAACGTCAAATCTTCCGCGCTTCGAGCGGGATGGGCGAAAATGAATTCAGACAAGGATTAAGAGTCGAGAACGGTACTACGAATTGTCTTTTTTCTCTAATAATTTAATGAAATGTCAAAGCTTATGCGCATTGCGCGGGAACGGGAAAACTAAAAAATAATTTAGCTCCCGGCGACGGGTTTATAGTTTATATTTACCTCAATTCAGTTTTCCCCTCTCCCATCTGGGGGAGGGGGGAGGGGGAACTGAATTCAGACAAATATTAAGAGTCGAGAACGGTATAATAATAACGAATCGTCTTCTTTCTCTAATAATATTTAATGATACGTCAAAGCTTCCGCGCTTCGTGCGGGAGGGGAAGAGGGAACTGAATTCAGACAAATATTAAGAGTCGAGAACGGTACAATAATAACGAATCGTTTTCTTTCTCTAATAATATTTAATGATACGTCAAAGCTTCCGCGCTTCGTGCTGGAGGGGGAGGGGAACTGAATTCAGACACGGATTAAGAGTCGAAAACGGAACAACGAATCGTCTTCTTTGTCTAATAACTTAATGAAACGTCAAAGCTTCCGGGAGGGGGAAAACTCCCCCTGGACCCTAGCCGTTTAAAAACGAACCCCTCAATTGCAAACTCTGGTTACAGGCCTGCATTCTCCTCCAAATTTACTATAAATACCTGGTTAGTTGAGCAGACACTGTCTACTACGAAGTCATTTTCTCTCTGTCTAAGAGCTCCTTCTGATTGTGATCTTGGAGTTCGTCGTCGAGCAGACAGAGAACAACGAGTTGGTGATCGACTTTGGCGTGTTGGAACGAGTGGTGAGAATGGACGGATCGGATCTGGTTGCCAGATGTTGGGTAGGTACTGAGATATAACAAGTTATTGATTAGTTTAGAATAATCATAATGTGAGCAAAAACTTAGGGGGCAGACAAAAATCCGCATCACCACCAGGTGGCATAATGGGCAAAAAGGTAAGGAAACAACCCGGAACAATAACGATGATGATAATATAAATGATAATGATAATAACAATGATAACAATGATAATTTTGATAATGATATAATAAAGATAATGATGATAATAATAATATTAATGATAATGATAATAATATGATATTCATAATTATTATAATAATAATGCTAATAATATTAATTATAATGTCGATATTAACAAATATAATATCAAAGGTAATAATAATTAATAATATTAATGATGATAATAATAATGATAACAATGATAATAATGTTGATGATAATAGTGATAATAATAATAATGATGATGATGATGGTGAAGATGATGATGATGAAGATGATGATGATGATGATGATGATGATGATTAATATCATTATTATCAAGGAGCGCTAAAAACAAAGGTTAATAGACACATAAGGGAAGAATAATGCTTAAAGGGGTCTTCTACAAAAAGCAAGTAAGAGTCATTAATTAACATCAAAATGAAATTAACATGTACATTATCCCTATAACCAGATAATTTATTCGAGACATAAATACAGCGTCCATGATATTGTCACTACACATAATACTTTTGATTCCATTAACTGTCTTGACTAATACTCAACATCTATTTTGTAAAAAAAAAATATATATATATATATATATATTTAAGCATGGTACTCTTAATTAATGACCATTATCATGTATGGCGCTCTAAAAACATTAATTTTAAAGCCCCTGAATAAAACAAAAAAAAACAACTTTCCCTCCGATGTATTTTGAAAAGGAACCATACTCGTATGCAAACTACCGGCAGGATTTGGGGTGTATGTTATCTTGGATTACCACCCCTATATTATACCCCTGTCCTATAGTTGGAATGCCATTAACCAAAAATAACTTTGAAACCAATCGTTTCAAGATGGTAACGTTAATTTTACCTTTAAAAGAAAAGAAAAAAGAAGACTGGCCCCCTCCCCCGGCGTTCAAGGGGGTGTGGTGTTGAGTTTTTGTTTAAAAAAAACAGAGTTCCAACCCCCAACCCCCCCCCCCCATCCCCCCACCCCCTCCCCGCCTTATTCGGCCGGTCGGCTGAGTCACCGCTAAATATTTTCTAATGAATTGGGCTCCCTTCTTTCGCCGCGGGCTGGATCCGCCCCTGCGTTCATCGAACTTACCCAGTGATTTGTATTTTAACAAAATAAAGTTTGATCGTCTTGACTCTCTTCTGACTACAAAGTCAACTACAAAGTTGACATATATGATATTCTTGTTATGTTCTGTGTTTGTAAACTTATATGTTTACATAAATTATAAATATTTGACGCCCTTTTAGGAGCAATTACCAAGTTTAGATCATTCCAATAATTTCCGATCGTAATGTAGGATTTAATTCTGTCATATTTTTTTTCATGGCAGCTATCGGACGCCATGGTGACTGCCGTGGAAGCTGTCATCACAACAAGCAAACACCCGAGTTGACATGCTAGACAAATATCATGTAAAAGACTTTTAGTTAAGTTATGTCATCTCTTTGACCAAGATACTTCTCTTTCTACTGTCACAGTAGTAATACCCACGAAAATTCTTTAGATGTTTCATTTGGTTACAAGTTAAAGCTGGGATTCCTTTGTAGCGCTAATGCATTGGCAAACTTATCGATGAAGATGAGTTTGTTTTACTAATCTCTCCGTAAATAAGGAAAGGTGTTAAAAACTCTCTATTGTTTGAAAGTCAATCTGTAATGTTTGAGAAAGGAACCCTCCGAAGAAAATCATCTAGTCCCACTTCTTCAAGTCTTTCACATTATCAAATATTGGACATTTCAACGGACATCACAATATTAAGGTAAAATTTGAAATATATGATAGTTTACAAAAGTCCCTCGAGAATGTTCGTATTCATCTCACTTAAAATATTATTCCAAATATAGGTATGCAGGTAGAGGCCTTGATTGAAACACTCTGAACCACAATCTAATGATGTGACGGGAGCTTGCATGAATTAGTAATTCATTAAGAAGAAGAAAAACTGCACCTTCCCACAAAAAAAATGAAATTAAAAATGAAGTGAATAGAGTTATATATAGAATGCGGCTATTCTAAATATATCGGGATACGATTACAGTTTTCTTTTTGTTTAATCTCCTAGCTATACAACAAAAAAGACAGATTTTAAACCATTAAAAAATGTGTATCTTATTTGGGAAAGTTGATTTTGCTCATACAGGGCCACCGCTGCGGAATGCTCTCCCTCGAGAGATTCATAAAAGCAGATCAGTTAAAGTGTTATAAAATAATCTTAACAAGTATCTGTTTATTCGGCATATAATTAATTGTTCTGTCATTACGTCGCTGTTTTCACGAAGTGACGGTAGTGAAAAAAAATTGCATTCACTTTGCGTTACGATTTTCCTCACTACCGTGCATGCTATATCTTACTTCTGTTCCATTATTCATAATGCAGATGCTTTGATATGGTCTCTCTTTCTTGCTGTTGTTGTTTCACTAGACTTGTGCTCTTTTATAATTTGATTCAAGTGGATCCGGCGGCTTATAAATTCCATATATTATTATTCTTATTATCATTATAATCTAAACCAGTCATGTTTATCCCCTGTGTTTAGTTGGTTCACTGAGCATTGTCTTCCAACATTCATTTGCAGACGAACAATGAATAAGATGATATTGATTGCATCAATTGTCTAGCTTTGAATGAAATGATTCGATCAATTTGAATGTTTTTGTCTGAATCTAACAACGACCTTGGACCATGTGGACTTTATTGTTAAATTTGTCAACATATATCATTGTCTATGCACGGTCATTAGCTTGCAGTATGTTTTCTTTGGGCCGGTATGTTTCACGGATACCAAAATACCAATATGGTTATGACGTTTTTTAATCTAAAAGAAGGAGTGGAAGCAATAATGATACTGAAGATACTAACTAAATTAAGCAAGATGAGTGGTTTTGAAAATGTAATCTTTTATATGTATGATAATTCTAGGTATAAATCCTTTTGACTGCTAAAGTTAAATTTTGTTCGAACTGTTATTTTTGCTCAAATAAACAATTCAAACACTTAGGTACATGTGACTGATATTCACGGAAAACATCAAAATCAAACTTTTCAGTTTCCAATTTGATGTTAATATCTTCTATTCATTTACCCTACTATGCAGAAAAATAATATAATAGTAGTTAATGAAAGAAATAAAATCTTTCTCGCTTATTTTGAATTTGCCTGTATTCTTTTTAATCCGAAACGTCTATCAACACAGTCCGAATCAATACAATGAAGTGGAAAGCAACGCATATATAAGGTAATGTTCAAATTGAGTTGCTTTTAAGAGGTTTCCTGTTGGCAGTCAGGGGTTTCCCCGATTCTCTAAAAAATTATGCTGACAATATTTGATGGAAAGTGAATACAGAATATTTGGAATTGTCCTACAGCTTTGTTAAATCTAAAAATAGTCAGGGCATCGCCGTCTTTAGAAATACAATGAGCTACTCCGGGTTAATTTTTCCTTCTCTATATATTATTGGTCTGTAAAAATATACAGCATTTTGATAAAGTAGGGAAAGTTAAGCGAGTTCCCTACATTGTCGCTCCCGTGATAACCATTAATTCTTTTGATAGGCGCCAATTCCACTTGAAATCAAATGCTCAAGGCGCACTCGTACAAAGATAAAATTACAGAACACCGATCGTATGTCAATGAACTAAGACAATCTTGTGAGATATTTTTTTAAAAGACTTAATATGCTGAATTCAAAATGTTTGTAAATTTGATGCACCAAAGAGTTAAACATGGAATATAAAGTTGATTTATAAAACAAGTTAGATTATTGTTCTCAAATGGACTACGTCCATCTTACCTTGCCACCCAATGTTTTTCCTATTACCCCTCTCACCATCGGCGAATGAAAGAAGTGACTGGCATGAGGATCGACTAGGGCATCGTACTTCGGGATGATGTCGGCAGACCACTTATATCTGACTTTCTCTACTTGGATACAATCTAACACAAATCCTTCTTCCATGTCTCGTAGCTTAGCGGCCGATGGGTCTGGTTGGATGCCGCGGTGGATATGATCGTGATGCCAGAGAGGAGAATGAGAGATAACGTGGTGGTGCATATCGATCTGCACCTGTTACAGAATAGAGGTGGTGATTGATAATGTATATGGAACTATTGTCTTTTGATGATTATGACCTTCCTGCTTCTGAACTTTCACGTAGATATTCTATCTCTCTCTCTCTCTCTCTCTCTCTCTCCCCCCCTCTCTCTCTCTCTCTCTCTCTCTCTCTCTATTATTTATATATATATATATATATATCTTTATATCTCTCTCTCTCTTCCCACTCTTACTTTTTATTTAAGCCTGACATACTGATGGATCTCTGTCTACATTCGATCTGGCAAAATTATTTTTAAAAAAAACATCACGATCATGTCATCATTTGGTACTCCGAATATAAATGCAGTCGGTTTCGTTTCATTACCCAACTTGTTGATCTATAATGAATTATTATATTCTTGTTCAGTTCAGTTCAGTTCAGTTCAGTTTATTAATATCATCGTTTCACAGCCTCGGCTGAATTGCATGCCAATTTACAATAAAAAACATATCATATTTCTTTAACAATTGCTTCAAATAATACCAGTTAAAATACAACATAATTAACGAAGAAAATGAATCTTTATCAAGACTTAGTTCATTTTCTAGTGACAATTTACAATATTAGCAATAAGAATAATTCAATTATGTATTTTTTCTGCTTATACGAAGTAATGGAATTAATTCTTTTCAGGTCAAGAACATGGTATACACGTCAACCATATGTATTTTCAAAGAATAAAATTGTTCTTATTTTAACTAAGAAGCAAGTATATGAACAACCAAATTCACGAACATAACTGCTGGCTTGAATCAGTGGCAGAAGGCCGTACCGAAAAGTAACGCTGTAATTTGTAATCAGCGTGCTCAAAGTTATTTAAAAATGCAGCATTCAGCAGTCTCCTTTCAAAATCACATTATCTAACTTTAGTTCTCAGGTATGGAATAAAACATAAACAGGTATATATTAATCCAAAAGTGGAAAGAACTTGCGAAATACGTGCAAATGTTAGAGAGATTTTGCCCCGTGCTGCTGTCAAGAAGCGACGTTCTCTTCCTTCATCTTTTCTCTCATCAATGTCTCTGTCTGGAAGCGCCGTTAAACGAAATATAGATCTGAAAACTGTGTCATTTTTGACAGCGTTTTATTCGAACAGTTAGTTGTCCAACAGGCCTTTACAAAAGTTCGTTCATTTTAATCAGTTTGTATTTTGGAGCTACATGCTACCCAATGTCTTTTCCGAAGGATATTCTATTCGTATCGCGTATAAAAACATATCTTTAACAATAATCCATTTAATGTATCAATAACTTACCTTGGTCCACCCGTTCCCCTGAAATGTCCCTTGACTTGATGAAATTACGAAGAGTAGATGACTCTTATAATCTTGAGAAGTTTTCTTCTCGGATCGAATATTTATACCCTTTATCTACTACTTCTCTTCGCACTCGGGTAAAGATACTTTTCCCTGTAACTAACATCTTAAAATGAAGCGTAAATAATACTCTCATGGTTTCTCTCTTCGCTCTCTTGTCTAAAGTAAATATTTTCAGAGTAACCTTGTTTGTTAAGTTCCTATTGGATGATACTTTGACTATCACGTGATATCCAAGCTATGTTCTTATTGGTGTTCGAACTATTTAGTATCACCCAATAAGATTATTTGATCTTTGATACAGTCGTTCCACACTTTAAAACATGATACTTCGACTCAGCACAAAGAATCCGTCAACTTAGTGACTGCACCAGCGTCGAGGGCCAGGGTGTGTATATTTATTTATATTTTGTTTTCTTCCTTTTATTTGAAAAGAAAAGGGTGGAAATTGTATAAAGAATTACGAGTAATATAATTCTCATCCCTGCATTATATAGGTGAGACATGCGGTAGTATGTTAATTTGTGTCACTCCTGGTTATTGTTATCTACTCTTACACTCAATAATTATCTATACACTATAACTTTAAAATTTGGTATCCAATGTACAAAAATTGAGAATCATCCTATTTGTTTAGATTGAAATCAATAAAGTTTTTGAATTTGAATTTGAGTTTGAATTAGAATTTATATTATATTCCAGCAAGAAAATTGCTTTTTCTGGGCCGCTATATGCGGGGAGGGGGGGGGGGGGGTGGGGAGGGGGTAGACAAAGTACGTTCCCTCTTCCTATCTCTTTATAGATCTTTTGTTGTTCTTGATATTTTAAACAATAACTATTGTAGCGCCATTAGTAGGCCTATTAATGTCAATCAATTCATTATTTTATAATGTTTGCATCAGATAAATGATTAATTTATATAAATGTTATATAAATTTAATTGATGACATTTTTATAAGAAATGTTTTACTTTTCCTGCTGCATGGCTAATAAGGGTAAACGTGAATTTAATTCCCCCCTTACCTATATATTTCTTAAACTTATTCGTATTACTCTTAAAATTTATGAGGAAACATTTGTAGTTTATAAGTTTTCAACATTATTTTGATGATTATGTACCTTAAAATACTTCCTCACCTCTTTGCAATATCTTACATAATATATTCTTCAATGGTTGTAAATCTGCCAGGGGAGAGCAAACCACCCCCATTGCCGCTTCACTATACGCTACAGTGTCACTGATGATGATCGTCAACTACATCAAATTTTTAAAAAAATGTCCTCTTACCCCCCCCCCCCCCCCCCCCCCCCCCGCTTATTCAGCGGCTGGCTGAGGCGTTGCGAAATTTTCGGCCCGATTTAAAATTGTTAAACGCCCCCCCCCCCCCCTCCCCCTTGAAAAAATCCTGCGTACGCGCCTGGTCAACTATAATAGTTACATCGACTTTGTGCAGTCAACCCATAGCATAGGGATCAAACTTCTTTACTTTAGAAAGGATTCATTGGGTTTCCTTTTATACAGGTATTATCCTGTAGGAGCACTTATAGTCTTCCTCCTGTCTGGTAAGATACGGAGGGATGAATTGAAGACAGAGACACAATAAACAGAGTGTGTACGTATGGCTTTTGCATTTTGTAAACTTCAGGTGCACTTGGCAGAGTTTTAAGTTTGTGAAATGCAAATACATGTATTGCTGGAAAGTATGTCTCTTCGAAGCCTGTACATCTTCCGTGTTCATGAACATTGTAGTTTCTTCATCACCAGGGCATATTAATGAGAATAGTGGCCCAAAAGGGACGTCGCGAATCATGAGCTTTGCTGTGAAAGTCGCGAGAAAATATGTGACAAAGGCGCATATTTTGTTGCAAATTAAGGGTATCAAAAACAAGAAAACTACTTTCGACTCTTCCTTAATAGCTAAAATAGTCCAAGAAGAAGTAATCCTCCTATGTATATAATATCATTATCAATAATAATATTCCGCTTTTATAGCGCTTAAAAGTAATGCAAAGTTTTGGGAAAATTTGAAAATTGGATGGATAGTAATTCTTTATAATTTTGATATATTTGGATGCCCTTCTGGATGAAATATAAGCACTAGAAAATTTAGCCCCTAGAACACTTCTGCTTTCTTTACATCCTACAGGGTACCCATTTAACACCTGGGTGGAGACTTGGCAAATGTAGAATAACGTCTTTCCAAAGGACGTTAGTGTCGGACTGGGATTTGAACCCCGTATCTTGTGATCTGCAGTCGGGTGAGTGGACTCATCCATAGACCACAGCACCTATAATGCAATATATTAAAGATCCCTGTTAAAGGAATAGTTGAGTTCTGTTTTCAGACCGCATTTGCCTTCAAAGTGCATGGTTATTGCTCTTATTCTTATCTTTGACATTTCTAGTGCCCTTTGAGGACCTGAAATTGCTATGAAGGTAATTTTAGACCCCAAAATGTGTGAATTTTAGCCAATACGAACATACCCATTCAGTTCCACTTTCAATAAAAAATACGGTGACCGTTAATTAATCAATTAATTAATAATAACAATACATGGGCCGGCTGGCTGGGCTTAATTTATAACCAACACGAAAAATCAAACAAAAAAGCCAACATCAGCATTGGCTGAAATACAATGTAAAAGGCGCTATATCATTTTTTCAACGGCTTTATCAAAATAATTATCGAATATTTTGTGGTGGTACTCAAATTAGAAATCGTTATTTCAGCCGTCTCTGAACCGATTTTGATCAAACAAAGTTGATTTTTTCATTTTAATTGTATGTTCTTTCAAATTTGATACTCAGTTTTTCACAGTATCTCACAAAAAAAATTATTTTGTGTAGCGCCCTCTGCAACAGAACTGAACTATCCCTTTAATGGACAAATTCACTACAAAAATAACTTACTTTCAATAGAAGCAGAAAATCAGACAAACCAATCAAAACAAGTTTGAGCAAAACCGGAACTAATAACAAAGTTGTGAATTTTTGAAAAAGTATGTAGAACTATATGGAACAATGAAAATCACAAGTCAAACTGGGAACTCACTCATCAGTCTGTGACGTCATGTCCTCACTATCCACTCATTATTTTCTTTATATTGATAATATACATTTCCTATTTCCCCCCCCTAAGAATCTTTTTTCTTCACACCAGCATCCAAGTTAGATCGATAGTAATATGTATTGTGTACTGTGGATGCACTAATATAGAGGGTTTTTTTCATGAAAAATGTGAATTTGATAAACTATTTATATAAAAATCAATAATTATGAATATAAAATATTCAGAAAAAAAGTATAAATTCTTCAATATTCATAAAAGATTTTGGGAAATGTCATGCCCGCAATATGATACAAATAAACATATAACCTGGGCAAAGGTATGAGGGAATCAAGTTTTGGGGGATAAAAAGAGAAATTAAAGGTTTTAAAAAGTTTTGGTATGGGGTCGTGACTTTGGTTCAAATTAACATATTGGAAGAATATGCTTTCCTACAATATTCATTGATCGTTGTCCCAGTTGAAATCGAGCCTAAAGTTATGAAATTATAAATAATAAACTCTTTATGTTGTATAGCTCCCTCTCTAGGTCAAGATATCAATTTAGCTATGAAACAATGTTTCTTGACTAAAATCGACCGAT